ATAGCTCGAACCACAAGGAACCAACACCTGAAGCATCCTGCAGTGAGATATGCTCACAAGGCGCTTGCAAACACTTTCTTTACAAGGAAGGAGACAACAAACCTCACTGGAAAAGAGAGAGACTTTATCTACACTGAAATGTTTGCACTTATGGATACCAGCGACAATGGGGCACCTATAAGCCCACCAAGCAGATTCCCATGCTTTGTGAGATTACTGATGGAGCAGCTGCTGACCTATCAGAGCTGAGTTTTAAACAAGGGGAAAATGGAGAAGAATCCACAGCTTCACATTAGAGGAATTGTGACTGCTGTTCTAATAGCCAGTGGTGTGGATTTTAAAGAACATGTTGATGATGCTCTGGGTCCTTTATGTATAGATATGGACTATCTTAGGAGAAGCCATTACATTGAGAAGAGTATTCAAGACAAGCATGTCTACAAGTTCCCCAATGAACTCCAAGAGCCAGCAATAGTCCTTCTCCCTAATCCAAAGCTTACCTCCTTCATCACAAGGAACAACATCAGTTTTAATCCAAGTGATGATCAGCTCTACCAAGGCGGCTCTGTCCCTGAAGAAAGAGAAGAAGCTAGTGAGGAAGAAGAACAAGAAGAAGTTGAAGAAGAAGTAAGAGAAGAGAGAAGAGAAGAAGGTCAAGAAGAAGTCCATGAAGAAGCTATTGCTGGCGCTGAAAGCCAAAGGGGAACACAAGAAGAAGATGATGAGCTTGATGAAGAAGAAGTGCTGAACTACAGCTCAAAGCAGTTCCACTTCAAACCTTATGAAGGCCCAAGCCAAGAGAGCTCTATGAAGTCTGCTCATGAACACATCAACACCCTTCAAAAATGGTGTAAGTAGCAAGACAAAGCCATTAGGAGTTTGATGAAAAATGGTTAAAGGAAATTTCAGAAAGAACAAAGCTACATCAGCAAGAGCTTCCCATCAAAGCCACACTCATGATCACACTTCTCATCAGAGCCACACTCATGAGCATACTTCTCATCAAGAAGAGCCTATGCCACAAGCTGACCCAACTGAAGAAGAGGAGGCTGTTTGGAACCCCCATGGAAGTCATTCCTTTCATGCACAGCCAAGTGATCAATGGGGGACATGGGCACAACCAAGGGCTTCATCATATGAGCCAAGGTCTCATATTCCATCAGCATGGGAAGCGTCAACTCCCATCCCTTCTGAGGTTCAACAAACATGGCAATGGGGTCACCAAGGTACTTCTTCTCAAGCTGAGCAGTTATGGTCAAGCTGGGTTCTCCCACCACAAGAAGCAGCGCCATCTTCAAAGACTTATGAGAGGAGGAACAAGAGGAGAGCTAGCAAGTCTCCTCAGACATCTGGATCCTCCCATCACTCCACTTATTAAACAAGGTACCACATCCTATCCATTGTCTATACCATTGCATTTTTTTTTCAATTCTGTATTATATTTTGTTGCTTCTCTCTCTCATTGCTTTCATTACACAAGGGACTGTGTAATTTAAGTGTAAGGGAGAGATTTGGGGTTTGACTTTGTGTTTTGTTTTCTTAGTTTTTCATTTTCTTTCACTTTGAGTCACATGCATATCATGCATTCATCTAAGGCATAGAAAAACACAAAAAAATCAGAAAATTTGAAAAATTTTGCATTTTTGCAAACCAAAAAGAAAGCATATAGTTGCATTTCATTCTTATAGGATTGAGTCTAGTGTTGACATGTAGGTTTCATTGCATTTGCATAGGGCATAATGATGAAATTTTCTTGTAAAGTGCTTAGAGTTTAGAGATGATTTCAGTGTTTAAGTGATTAGTTGTTTAATGCATCACAAAAAAGCTAGAAGTTAAGACTGATCCATGCTTGGAATGCTAATTTTGATCATCTCATCTCATACTGAAAGCACTTGTTCTCTGAAAATCAACTCTATCAACTTGAACTTTAATTTGGACTTTTAATTATCATGTCTTATGCATTGAAAAGTGAATTCATGGCTACCATATACTAATTTGGATCATCTTTTTCCTTTCTATCACTCTTTTGATCCAAGTAGCTGATCCTTGTACTTATGAGACAGTTAATCTACTCCCTTAACCAAAACCTTCTTTTGAGCCTAAACACTATCTTGAGAGCTGTGAGGTCTTTGCATATTATTTTTGATTTTTTCTTGGCAAAATGTGTTAGGAATAAGGCTGGCAATAATAAGCTCTCTTGTAGATCAGCTTGCATCTTGAGCTTGATTATAGGATAGGATTTTTAGGTTAAAAAGGTAGTGTTAAATGGTTTGAACTTCATGTATATATGTTTTGAAAGAAAAGGAAAAAGTTTGAAATGGTAGAAAAGGGGAAACACTTTAGCATTATAGTTTAAGTAAAAGGAAGTAAAAGCTCTAAGTGTCTAGAAAGAATGGCGCCAGCAACTTAAGGGTTTTGAAGGGTCAACACAAAGAAGAAATCAGGTCTAAAACAATCCACCAAAGGTGATGAAGGTGCCAATGCAACAAAGAAAAGCAATTCCCAACCAAAAAAAAGCAGCCACACAAGCAAAAAGAAGAAGTTTCCTCAGCCATGAAGAAGGGTAAAGGGTAGAGTTTAGGAAAAAGATAGACTTAGGGGTTCACTTTTGGGTTTACAAGTGCTTATGATTCATCTTGGGGTAGAAGGGAGCTTTGAATTGCATGTATAAGTGTGCTTTTACCTTTAACATTTTTCCCAAGATGGAATCTTTTTCATTGAGTGATCCCTTATGTTTGAAAACCCTTTGCTTAAATGAGATCATTTTTATCTCATAACCTTACCATTTGAACCAATTGTCTTCACTTGATTTGCATAAGCATGATTCATGTTCTGAGCTTAATTGAATGTTAAAGAGTTGATTGATTTGAGCATTTGCCTAAGTTGAGATTTGAGGTCATTTTGATACATAATGAGCATGGCAAGGTTCTTTAAAGTATAGCTGATTATGTTTTAATCCTACAACTAGACACTTAAGCATTGATACCATCTCTTTACCTTTGCACTTTTGGATTTGAATGCCCACCTTCAAACCTTACTCTCTCATTTGTTCTTATTTGCTTGAGGACAAGCAAAAGGCAAGTGTGGGGGTGTTGATATCTCTTGTATTTACACCATTTAGGCTTGTATTTAGTACATGTTTTAGTTCTCATTTGCATGTTTTCCTTATCTTTTGTCTCATTTGCTTCTCTTTTTAGACTTATGTTGCATTTAGGACATAGTTTGCATTTTCTATGCATTATAGATGTTTTTAGGTATCTATGGAGCTATAAGGAGCATGGAGAAGCTTTGAGGATGATCCAGGAAGCTAGCTGGACCAAGATGAGCAAAAGGGACCAAGGCATACGATCTCTACAGAGCCTATCGATCAAGGCACAAGACCTATTGGTCAAGGAGTGCCCGATAGGATCCCTATCGACCAGGCCTATCGGTCAGTGAAGTGACCGATAGCAGTGCACCGGTTATATTTTGGTCACCCTATCGGTCATCTTCCAGACCGATAGGATCCCCATCAATCATTCCTATCGGTCACAACTGACCGATAGGAACTCAGTTCGAGCCTTGTTTTTATTACTCTTTTGCTATTATTTTAGGGCTTCCTTATCTTTTGTATAAATACCCTTTTTCTAGGATTTTCGACAAGTCACCTTATAACACTGTTCTTAAGTTTATTTTCTGGATTTGTAAGACAAATTTCTTGCTTTATTTAATATAAGTTTGTATTTGCCATTAACTCTTAATCTCTCTTCTAATCATGATTAACATCTTTTCCTCTTATGATTTGATGTTAAACATGAGTATTAGTAAGTAGTTTGCTTAAGATTCTTAGATGTGGTAGATTAAAGGGATTTAGGATTGATTAAGGTTTGTTTAGTGTTTAATTTGATGGGTTCCTCTCTATTAATCTGTTTCTAAGCTAGATTTGTCTTGATCACACTTATCTAGAATTTAAGCTTTCTCTTATGCCCACTAAGTGTTTGATGAAATGCTGATCTTGTTTGATAGAGGACTTGCTGGCCTTGGCTCAAGAGATTGACTGTTTGAGGAGCATTTTGACATGAATATAGTTGGTTGCTATTGCTTGCTAGATGTTTAAGCACTAATGAGAGTTAAATCTTGCTAAGGTGTTTAGTAAAGGGCTATTTTACAAGAGATTGGACTTAGTTTGCTTGTTTTTGAACTCTATATCTAGGAACCACCATTGCTAGCTTGTTTGCTTGATCAATGCTGTTTGAAACAACCTTAATTAGTCTCTAATCATTGCTAAACTGTCTTCTTTTGAACTCTCTTTGGTGATTGATCATTCTAGATTGTTAGATAAGTTGCTTAGGCAACAAAAACTCTTTTTTGCTTTGCTTGACTTATAGATCTCTGCTCACAACTCTTCTGCTTTCAACAAACCTATTTGGATTGACATAAAACCCTTGCTATACTACAATTGATTAACATAGAGGGGTGATTGACTGAGACCTAGAAACCTCTGTGTCAGATTTCAGAGAATAAATCTTTATTAAGTAGCTCAAATGCAAAGCAATTACAAGAGGTGGTGTGACCTAGAAGTCGTGCCGAAGTGGAAGTAAGTAATGAAAATAATAAACTAGAAATCTTGGAGTTTTTACGTCTTGCTCTGCTGCCTTCTAGAATGTATCAGTTACTCTTCAAGCCATCTGAGACTTCTTATTTATAGGAATAGGATGTCGGCTGCTACGAACTCTTTTTCTTTTTCTCTTTCAGGATATTCCCATCTTTTGGATATATAAATATCATTTTTCCTGATTTAATGAAGATTCTCTATTATCCTTGAATATTCCTTTGAATCTTCAAATCGGCGCAATTCTCCCAGTTTTGATGGGCTTAGGTTATTGCTAAAGAAATTATTCTAAGAAATATACTCATTTCTCCTCTAACAACACACTACTGGCTTAAGTCATCGGTTAGATCCGCAGGTTCCAACCACATACTTTGGAAACTGCGTGTTTCCAATAGGTTGGTTCTAGTACGAGCATGAACAGTTTTAGAAGAAGGTGGTTTTGTCAACGTAGTTGAGATCCTAAGTGATTCGGTCAAAAATTTGGGTTCACAAAAGATAGAATCACTCTCTGAGACCTATTTTGAGAGATTTCAAAAAAATGAAACCAGATGTGCAGATTGGGGCAGTTTCGGGGTCGACCCGATCAAGGGTTTACCGGTCGGATTTTGGGTGGGGCAGACTTGCTAAGATAGAGGTTGTGTCCATTGACAACAATGAAAGCATTCTCTATGTCAGAGAGGAGGGATGAGCCAGGTGGTGTAGAAATGGAAGTGTGTTTGAAAAAGAGTGAGATAAACATATTTCTTTCTTTATTTAAAAATGGCCTAAACGATTAGGCTTTATAAAAATAAAATGGATTATATGTTTTAAATAATACTAGGTATATAACTCGCGCTACGCGCTAGTCTGTGTTAATATTTTAGTTTAATATTTGTAGCTACTGTTTTAAAAATTATTAAGAATATAATATATTTATAAAAAAATTATTTATATAAGAGAATTTAATATATAATGTGTAATTTATTTTATTTTTATTTATAAATTTTAAAAAATTATTAAGTAAAATAATAACAATGACACCTATTGAATTATCCAACTTTGACACATATACATTTGATTTATATAAATATAATATTGCTAAGATTTTGGTATTATTTTCTGTTTTTCATAGAATTTCTATAGTTCTTTTTTTCTTGAAGGTTTATGTGTTCAAATATTTAGTTTTTTTTATTGAAAGTTTTATTGATGTTGTGTACCACTGTATATATAATCTATGATTCATGTTGATTCACATTTAGTTTTGTTAGGAAGCTGTAATGATCAAACAAAACTATTTTTTCCTTCTCCATCATGTCTTCCAAGAGTTTTATGTTATATTTTTATTCGGTTTTCATTTTTTTAATTGTTAAATCGAGTTGTTGTAGATTTTTTTAAATTGATAATTGATAATGATTACTTTTTTATACATGTATTGTTAATTGTTAATTTTTTATTTAACTTTTAAATTTTTAAACCATATTAATATTTTCTGATTTAATAAATATGTTGATTTGGATTAATCAGACTGAATTTACTTTTTCTGTTGGACATAATTTGTTAAATTAACTTTTAATGTTTTAATTATACTAATAATTTTTGCTTTGATTTAAAAGCTTATTTGGACCAATTAAATCAAGTTTTTCCATACTAATCATACTTAACATTTTTTATTTAATGAATATGCTGATTTGGACCAATCAAGTCGAGTTTTTTAATCCCATGTGGACACCCTCAATGCACTATGCCATCAACTTTTATATATTACTATGCTTTAAACTCGCGCTACGCGCGAGTCTGTATTAATAATTTGTTTTATTTTTTTGGCTAATATCTTTTAAATTATCAAAGCTATAATATATTTATAGAAATTTTCTTTTATACAAAAAAAATTAAAACATAATATGTAGTATTTCCTATTATTGTTTATAAAATTACAAATATTTTAAAGTAAAATTATAGTAATGACACCTAACGAATTATCTAACTTCGATGTGCATATGTTTGATTTAGAAAATGATTTTCTTACTAATTTTTGGTGTTTTGTTTTGTATCTTTAGGATTTCTGTGGTTCTGTTTAAAAAAGGTTTATATGTTTAAATATTTAGTTACTTTACTAAATGTCTCACTAATATTGTGTATATATATATATGATATATGTTGATTCATATTTACTTTTGTTAGTAAGCTACACTAATCGTGTAAAACTATTTTTTGCTTCTCCACCAGATTTTCTATGAATTTTAGGTTATATCTCTATTCAGTTTATAAGATATGTTTTATTTGCAGTCAACTATTTACTAATATTTATTTTTAAACATGTAAATTGATGTTGAGACTTCACATTATCACTATTTTTTTTTTATCTTTTGTGTGTTTATTCATGTTTTGATTTGAGTATTTTATCGTCATATATTCTCATTTGAATGTGATTCATAACCTTGTTATATTATATTATTTAAATAAAATTTTAGAGGATGTTGCTCATGTGTTGTTCATATTGACTAAGTTATAAGCAGTAAATATGTATACAAATCAGACTATATTACTTATTATATTTTGAATATAAAATTATTTGTGTAGTATTGTACTTTGTTAATTTTTCAACCGGACACAACCAATGTATTAATCTTTGTAAATTTAAATAATATGTTTGATTTAGAAACTTGTATAACCTATTAAAACTTTATATGGTTATTCATAGTCAAAACCAATATTTTAGAAATCATGAATGTTTTTGGAACTATATTTCAAATTAATTTTCTTCTTAGATCTTGTTTTTTGTTATTTTAAATATCTTCAATGATAATTTTATATTTTATTTTAATTATCTAATTTTCTGCAGGTTTGATATACTTAAAACATATATATTTTTAATTAATCTCTTTTGTTATTAATTTTTGAAATAGGTAGCATATATATTAATCTAATATCTTTTACATAAATGTTTTTTCTTTGTTAAATTTACTTTTTAAATTAATTAAAATGCTATTTTGACATGCTATAACTGGTTATTCTAAATTTTAAGTGAACTTCTATCAAAAGTTTATACCATCATTTGCTTTTTTTAGTTAATATTTGTTTGGTAGCTAGCCTAAATATCAAGCTAATTTTACTTTATACGACTTTTTCCTTTGATAATTTACCTCTTTTGATATTGATTTTTATTTTATGTTAACACACCATTGTTTTTAAAATATTGATATTTGAAGACATAATTTTTTTGTTAGTTAAATATTCTTATATGATTTTTTTAAGTAGTTAGTCAGATATCAAGTCAATATATTTTTAAGTCTTTTTTTTAAAAAAAAATTATTTTGTAAAACTTAATTTTCATTTTAGTTTTTAGTTAATTAATTACTTAATATTGATTTCTTAAATAATTAGCTTAAATATTTATATTATTTTTGTTAGTTAAGTTTTTTATTATTATTTAAGTTTTTTATCCTCTTACTTATTTTGTTTATATTGATTTTGTTAATAAATAACATAGATATTAAGTTAATATCCTCTTTTTTGTTAATTTAACTTTCTCGATATGGACTTTTATTTTAATTTTATTGACATGTTGTAAGAAATAATTTATGTTTTGGTTTTTGTTAGTTAAATAGTTTTTTATATTGCTTTCTTTAGTAATTAGCATAAAATATCATTTTTGGTTATTAAGATTTTTGTGTTAATTTTTTAAATATTTCTCCAAAAACTATAAGTTTTAGATGACTTTCTTTTTTGTTAATTTAAGATGAATATTTTTGGTAGTATTGATATTTTTAAATAACAATTTTATATATTTATATGAAAATTTAAGCTTAATATTGTTTCTAAATAAATTACTCATTTAAAATATATATGTTAATTACTTTTTTAATTTAACTTTTTGTTATTGATTTACAAATTTGTTTTTGTTAGTTTAGTTTTTGTGACAATGAGTTTCTATTTTATTTTCACAATAGATTTAGACTTTTGACATAAATTTATTTTATTTAGTTAAAAAATTATTTTAATTTTTCATTCTATTGTGATAATTTTATATTTTTGTATGTTTTAATTTATTTAAATTATTAATAATATTTTTTATTTTTTATGTTAAATAAAAAACGCTGATATAAATTAATCAGATTGAGTATATATGTTCAATGTGGACGCTCTCATTAGCCTAAGACATCAACACGGACCACAACTAATATATTTTAAGTTAGCAGTTCAGGTTTTAATTGTTTATCATGATTAAAATTTTAAAATAATTTAATTATGATTTTAAATACAGTTTTTAATAATTTTGTTCAATATATATGATATTTCTTTCATGATCTATTTATATGTTAATTTACCTTTTAATTGTTAATAGAAAAATAAGATCTATTTTCAAAACTCTTTTTTATTAATAACTAAATTAAAATTTGGAAACTTTCCTAATAACAACAAAAACAAAATTAATTAAAAATTTAAAAATTTTCCTTATAAAAGTTAAAATAAATTAATTAATTTTAATATATAATATATAATTAACTAAAAATAATGATGATGTGTACTAATAGAATTGAATTTTTAAATCCTATGTGAACACCCTTAGAGACATTTAGCATCAACTTTTATTAGTAATAGATATGATGATGATAGTGTTATGATAGCCATGTTTTAGTAAATATTTTTGTTATTTTTTTATTAATTCTTTTTTATTTTGTTTGGTTTTTCTTTTTTTGGATTTAAAAGAGTTTTTTTTTATCGATTATTTGTTACATTTGTATGTTGAATCTCATTACGGTGTCTATGTGGCAATAAATTCTTTTTGGTCATAATCATAGATATATTTACGTTAATAATGGTTATGTTAGATCTATATATTGTGTCGGGTTTTTCTCCTTTTTTCATATGTGCTTTCTTTGACCTTATTTTGGTTCGGTCTACTTTTCACGATACAACGTATGTGTTTAGCTTTGGTGTTATCGTTTGGGTGGATCAGACTAGTTTTCTCTACTAAAAATCATAACTAAATCAGATTAAAATCTGAATTTATTTTATTTCTGTAATACTGGATCTATATCATTCTCTGTAGATAAAATCGAATGCTTCTAGACGATTAAACACTTAAACTATCTCAATAGAAACCTCGTCGTACTAATTTAGAAAACACACTTAATAATTGCCAAAGTTTATTTATTACCGAGTGAGAATAAAAAAAAATTGAAAATATATTCCAAAATCATTTTTTTTTCAATTTTTTGGAAAGCTTTGTTCAGTGAATTTATAAAAGAAAAATTATAATCGTGATAGTTTTTTCGACTTCTTTTTCATTGTAACTATCTATTAGTGACTCATAATATTCAATAAAAAATTTAATCAGCCTTAAAAAAAAGAAAGTAAATGTTAAGACAACTTATAGTTTTTCAGCCTCACGGATAGTTTTTATTTCAGTACACAGATAGTTTGGACATCTGTACAAACGCTTGGTTCTCAGCATTTCTCGTTAAGCTTTTGGAATTCTTCTCCTCAGACAAAAGCTCCGCTACACATGTTCAGAGTTTTAGCTTAAACATCATGAGACGTGTGGGAGGCATACAAAAATAATACAAATTATAGTGCCATATGTCCGCCGACTAACTATATTGTAAGAGAACACGTTTCCCATTTTATTTACAAATGAGTCGTCGTCCCAAGTTAAAAAGACACTTCAAATTATCATCGATTCCATAAAAAAATTGTAAGATTGCTTCCTCCATCGTTAATGGCGGTAAACATGATAAAGATTCTCCGAGTCAGCTACTCCACGGACTCGTCACTTGACTCTCTCAACTCGCTCAGTCTCACACTTACTTTCTTTGACTTACCATGGATAAACTTTCCCCCGATTCAACGAGTCATCTTCTATAGACTCCTCCAGTTATCAACCGAGTCCTTCCACTCTCTGATCATCCCGAAACTTGAGCGTTCTCTCTCCCTCGTCCTCCACCGCTACTCTCCTCTCGCTGGCCGCCTTACGTGGGACCCAAAACATCCAAAGCCTTGCATCCTCGTCCGCCATGACGACTCAGTCTCGCTTACTGTGGCAGAGACCGACGAAGATTTCTCTCGTGTTTCCGGAGATGGACTACGTCCGGCCGCCGAGCTACGTTCCTTTGTTCCTGAATTGGAAGCCACAGATGATTCAGTGTCCGTGCTTTCCTTGCAGGTTACGTTGTTTCCGAACCAAGGGTTCTGCATCGGGATCACATCACACCATGCTGTTGTCGACGGGAAAGCAACCGCCTTGTTTATAAAATCATGGGCTTACATATGTCGATTACAAGAAGAAGAAGCTATGCGTTTTCCTCATCTACCGGAGGGTCTAACTCCTCTGTTTGATCGTACGGTCATCAATGTTCCGACCAGGCTGGAGGCAAAGATCTTGGAACTTTCCTTGAGGAAAGGGAAGACCATGAAGAACATAGAGCCAAGTGAGATCGATGCTGACACCGTCCGTGTCACGCTTGAGCTAACTCAAGAGAACATACAAAAACTCAAGGAGCGAGTCAAGAACGAGTCATCTCGTCCGCTCGAGCTGCAATTGTCAACGTTTGTCATCGCCTTTGCTTACGCATGGACTTGCGTGATGAAGGCGTGTGGAGGCGATGCAAACAGACCGGTCGGTTTGTTGGTCCCAGCAGACTTCAGGCACCGGTTAAACCCGCAAGTTCCGGAAACTTACTTTGGGAACTGCTTGTTTCCAATATATTCGTTCGGATATGAAGCGAAGGAATTCACCGAAGAAGATGGTTTTGTCACGGCTGTCGAGATCTTAAGTCATTCAGTAAAAAGTTTGGGTTCGCAAGAGATAGAGTCACACTGCATGAACTATGTGGAGGGACTGAAGAAATTCAGACCGGGTGCACAAATTGGAGCAGTCGCAGGGTCACCCCGGTTAGGGATATATGGAGTAAATTTCGGGTGGGGCAGACCGGCTAAGACTGAGGTTGTGGTCACTGACCGAACCAGGGGATTATTCTCTTTGTCGGAAAGGAAGGATGGTCAACATGGTGTGGAGATGGGATTGTGCTTGAAGAAGAGTGTGATGATCATCTTTCTTTCTTTATTTAAAAATGGCCTCTGCTAACTATACACCATAAGAGCACCCTCCTCATCGTTAAGATACACAAAACAAGTATCTTTAATAGTTATATATTACTCTCTCTCTTTTAAAATAATTATCATTCTAAAGTTTTATATTTGTTTTATAAAAAGTTTCATTATACATTTTACATGTATAATTTTGAATAAATTTCTAGTTTTAACATTTGAATTTTATTGTTTTAACTAGAAAGAGAATGTTATTTTGTATGTAAATAAATGGTAAAACATCTATTATATTAAAAGAGAATCCACTTTAGGAGAATAACATTTATTTAATGTGTTATTTACTTAATATGCCATTAGACTTTTATTAAATATATATAATTTATTAAATTTATTATATTCATTAAATCATTAAAAGCCTAATTTTTTGTTACTTTTTTCATTAGAGACTCAATATTTTGTTATCCTTCTTATAAAAGGCCCATTTTTATTTAAAATTTAGAACCATCTATTTCTTTATGTTTCATTCGAAATTTATTAAAAAATATATAGAAAATACCAAAAATAATATGATTTAGTGATAAGATATATTATTGATAGATATTTTTATCACCATAATATATATATATATTCAATTATTTATATTATATTAATTATTTTTTAACAACATAATATTAATTATTTAGTATAAGAAATTTCCATTTTCAATTTGTTTTGAATTTTTTTTAAAAAAACAATTAAAGAAGAAGGAAATATGAAAAAAGGAAAAAAAAATAGGAAAAAACACATAAAACACGAAGAAGAAAGCAAACAAAAATAAAAAGATGAAAAAAATTACAGAAAAGGAACAAAAAAGAAAAATAAGGAAAAAGATGAAGAATAAAGAAAAATGTAAAAAAATAAGAAGAAAGAAGAAAAAACAGAGAAGAAAATTATTAAAAATAAGAAAAGAGAAAGAAGGGAAAAAAATAACATAAAAAGGAACTTAAAATAAAAATGAAGAAGAAGAAAAATACAGAAAAAAGTACGAAGAAGAAAAACAGAGAAAAAAAACTAGAGAAGAAAAAACAGAAGAACGAAAAGTAAAAGAAATAGAAAATGGAGAATAAGAAGAAAAACAGAGAAAAAAAGAGAGAAGAGGGAAATGTGGAAGAGAAAAGAAGAACAGAGAAAAAGAAAAAGAATTTTAAAAAATAAGGGAATGGAGAAAAAGAACAAAAACAAAAAAATTAGGTAGTTATAGTTATAATATATTTGAATACATAAAACACAAAGAAGAAAACAAACAAAAATAAAAAGATGAAAAACAATTACAGAAAAAGAACGAAAAAGAACGAAAAAGAAAAATGAGAAAAAGATGAAAAATAGAGAAAAATGTGAAAAAATAAGAGGAAAGAAGAAAAAACAGAGAAGAAAATTAATAAAAATAAGAAAAGAAGAAGAAGGGAAAAAAATAACATAAAAAAGAGCCTAAAATAAAAATAGAGAAGAAGAGAAATACAGAAACAAAGTACGAAGAAGAAAAATAGAGAAAAAAAACTAGAGAAGAAAAAATAAAAGAACAAAAAGTAAAAGAAACAAAAAATTGAGAATAAGAAGAAGAACGGAGCAAAAAAAGAGAGAAGAGAGAAAAGAAGAATAGAGAAAAAGAAAATGAATTTTCTAAAATAAGGGAATGAAGATAAGAACAAAAACAAAAAAATTAGGTAGTTATAGTTATAATATATTTGAATCAATAACAAATAATTTATAATATTTTATTTTTAGTTTTATATTTTTTTACTTATAAATTTTAAATTCACTCTTTATAATATATAAAAAATCTAACCATAAAAGTAACACATTTATATCTTATTTTTTATATTGCATTTTATAAATTATAAATTTTAATTTTTTTAAACATTGTTCTGCGCGGACGTGTAGGTTAGAATCTAGTAACTTTTAAAATGACACTTTTATGAAACATAGATAGTATTATTTAAATATGTTACAAATAAATAATAAATTATAAATATTAAAAATAAAATTAAACCAATTTTTACATGACAAGTGGATATAAGTTATCTGAAAGTTTCTCAAAATTCTCATATGAAAAACCGTATCTCACATTCTTTCTTTCTTTTTATTATCTTTTATTTTTATTGGATATATATATATTCTTAAAACTTTACCGATAAAGCTGTTCCAAGATGAATTGTTTACATTTGAAAACATTTTCTTACATTTTCTTTTACAATTTAAACATTTTTTATTATTAACACACTTTATGTTATTTTTTGTATCTTAGATTTTCTATTTTACACCTCGTTTGCAGTGTATGTTACATAGAGCCGGCTTTGTGGTTTGTATTGTGGCAATTAACAATACTCTCACATCTATTAATTAGATTTTAGGTCATGAAACTAGAATGGGCAATAAACACAAATTTAGATAAAGACTAACAGATTTAGATTGGAAATATAAAACAACTCCTGTTATAAAACAAAAATAAAACTCTAAAACGATATTCTTTTTAAAACAGAAGGAATATTTAATTTGCTTAATGTTTGGCCTTATGGAAGGGACTGATTGTCTTCCACGACCACAATGTATTACTAAACAGAGGGATTATTTTTTTGTGACACTAAGTTTCTATTTTCTTTTGACAAATGCTATAAGTTTGGATTTTTGATAGAACTTTCTTTATCTGTTTTGTTAGTTTTACTTTTTTTATCTTAATTTTTATTCTAGTTTTTCATTATTTATATATTTTAATTTATTTTAGTTGTTAATTAAATTAATTTTGTTGTGTTTGAATGAAGACATTGATCTGGACCAATTATATTAAGTTTCTTTTATATATAATCCTAATCTACTCAATGACCTAAAACTTCAATTTTTATATAATAAAATTAGGAATATAACTTGTGCTACGTGCGAGTCTGTGTTAATAATTTGGTTTAATTTTTTTTAGTTACTATCTTTAAAATTATTAAAACTATAATATATTTATAGAAATTTTTATTTATACAAGATAATTTAATATATTATATAATGTGTAATTTTCTCCTATTTTTATTTATAAATTTTAAAAACTATGACGTAAAATAATAACAATGACACATATCAAATTATCCAACTTTGACGTACATATACATTTGATTTAGAGAAAGATTTTCTTGCTAAGATTTTGATATTATTTTCTGTTTTCCATAGAATTTCTATAGTTCTTTTTTTTTCTTAAAGGTTTATGTATTCAAATATTTAGTTTTTTTTATTGAAAGTCTTATTGATATTGTGTACTACTGCATATATAATCCATAATTCATGTTGATTCGCATTTAATTTTGTTAGAAAGCTGCAATGATCATGCAAAACCATTTTTTCCTTCTCTACCATGTCTTCCAAGAGTTTTATGTTATATTTGTATTTAGTATTCATTGATATCTATTTTTTATAGTTTAATATTTGATAATTTTAGTTTTTTAACTTGTAGGATCGGTGGTGTAGAGTCTTTTCATTATTTTCACTGTTTTATCTTATGTGTGCAATACTCACGCTTTGATTTGAATATTTCATCTACATATAGCAATTTGAGTTTGATTCATACATAAGTCATACTTTATTATTTAAATAGAATTTTAGAATGTGTTATTGATATTGATTCAGATATAAGTAGTGGCTATGTATAGAAATCATATTTTACTACTTGTTAAATATCGAGTGTAAAGTTATTATAATATTTTTCTTTGTTAGATTTTAAATTAGAAATATCAAGTGTATTAATCAATGTATATTTAAAAATATGTTTGGTTTAGAAACTCATGTAAACCTATTGCAACTTTAGATAGTTATTTATTGTTGATACTAATACTTTAGAAACTATGAACTTTTTGAAACTAATTTCAATTTTTTTTTTGATAATTTACATCTTTTGATAGTAATTTTTTATTTATTTTAATTTACATACTTTTTGTATGTTTGATATACTTATGACTTATATTATTTTTATTAAGCTCTTTTGTTGTTGATTTTCTAAATAGGTATCATAAACATCACATTAATTTTTTCTATGCAAATACTTTTTCTTTGTTAAATTTGATTTTTATATCAATTTTAATTCTAGTTATAATATTGATTTGATATGCTTGATCTGTTGAATTTAAATATTATATGGACTTTTCTAAAAAGCTTATAACTGTTGTGAATAGAGAGAATAGATAGAAGGAATTTGTGTTGTTTTATTCCAATGAATAGGTGATCCTTTATAAAGAGAGGGTTTTACTTGGTGACAAAGTAAAACCTAGTTTACAAGTAACTATAGAACCTTCTAGAAGGTGGGCCTTATAGGCTTATAATGAACATCACATAATAGTTCATAACAATAACATCATTTGTTTATTTTTGTTAAGTTTTTTATATTGATTTTCAAAATTTTTAGCCCAAGTTAGTTTTCTTTTATACAATTTTTTCTTTTGTTAATTTGTCTCTTTTGATAATGATTCCTATCTTATTTTGAAACATAAATTTATAACATGTTAAAATCTAAAAAATCTTTGAATAAAAACATGTTTATTTTCTCATCATATCATAGTAACTTTAAAATAGTTTGGTTTCATATATAAAAACACAATAAGAAATTAAAGTATGGTGAAGTATATGCATGTGAGCGTACTTATTATGTCAAATAGTCAGTATAGTCAGTAGTTACTTCAATATTTTTCTCGGAAAAAAATCGGGTGGGAAAAGTGGAGTTCAAAAATAATACTTCTATATGATGCAATTTAAAGTATGGTATTGAGAGTTAAATAAATCTTATTATCTAATTTAAATCAAGTTTTTCCGTCCTAATCATACTTAACATTTTTTTTATTTAATTAATATGCCGATGTGGACCAATCAGATCAAATTTTTTACTTCTGTGTGGATGCCCTCAATGTACTATATCATCAACTTTTATATATTATTAGGCTTTTAACTCGCGCTACGCGCAAGTCTGTATTAATAATTTGGTTTAATTTTTTGGCTAATATCTTTTAAATTATTAAAACTATAATATATTTGTAGAAATTTTCTTTTATATAAAACATTAAAATATAATATGTAGTATTTCCTATTTTTGTTTATAAAATTATAAATCTTATTAAGTAAAATCATAGTAATGACACCTAACGAATTATCCAATTTTGATGTGCATATATTTGATTTAGAAAATGATTTCCTTACTAAATTTTTGGTGTTTTATTTTGTATCTTTAGGATTTCTATGGTTCTTCTTTTTAAAAGGTTTATATGTTTAAATATTTAGTTTCTTTATTAAATATCTCATTAATGTTGTGTATATATGCATATATAATATATGATATATGTTGATTCAGATTTTACTTTGTTAGTAAGCTACACTAATTGTGTAAAGCTGTTTTTTGCTTTTCCACCAAATTTTCTACGAATTTTAGGTTATATCTATATTTAATTTATAAGATCTGTTTTATTTGCAGTCAACTATTTGCTAATATTTGTTTTAAACATGTAAGATGATGTTGAGACTTCACATTACCACTGTTTTTCTTATCTTTTGTGTGTTTATTCATGTTTTGATTTGAATATTTTATCTTCATATATTCTCATTTGAATTTAATTCATAACTTTGTCATATTATATTATTTAAATAATATTTTAGAGGATGTTGCTCATGTGTTGTTCATGTTGACTAAGTTATAAGCAGTAAATATGTACACAAATCAGACTTTATTACTTATTATATTTTGAATGTAAAGTTATTTGTGTAGTATATTACTTTACTAATTTTTCAATCAGACGCAACCAATGTATTAATCTTTGTAAATTTAAATAATATGTTTGATTTAGAAACTTGTATAACCTATTAAAATTTTATATGGTTATACATAGTTAACACTAATATTTTAGAAATCATGAATGTTTTTGTAACTATATTTCAAACTAATTTTCTTCTTAGATCTTGTTTATTGTTATTTTAAATATTTTTAATGGTAATTTTATATTTTATTTTAATTATCTAATTTTCTGCAGGTTTGATATACTTAAAACATATATATATTTAATTAATCTCTTTTGTTATTGATTTTTCAAATAGGTAGCATATATAGTAATCTAATATCTTTTACATAAATGCTTTTTCTTTGTTAAATTTACTTTTTAAATTAATCAAAATGCTATTTTGACATGCTATAACTGGTTATTTTAAATTTTAAGTGAACTTCTCTCAAAAGCTTATACCATTGTTTGCTTTTTTTAATTAATATTTATTTGGTAGTTAGCCTAAATATCAAGCTAATTTTACTTTATACGACTTTTTCTTTTGATAATTTACCTCTCTTGATATTGATTTTTATTTTATTTTAACACACCATTTTAAAAAAAATATTGATATTTTGAAGATATAAATATTTTGTTAGTTAAATATTTTGATATGAATTTTTAAAGTAGTTAGTCAGATATCAAGTCAATATATTTTTAAGTGTTTTTAAAAAAATAATATTTTGTAAAACTTAATTTTTGTTTTATTTTTTTAGTTAATTTAACTTTCTCAATATAAACTTTCATTTTAATCGTATTGACATGTTGCAAGAAATAATTTATGTTTTGGTTTTTGTTAGTTAAACATTTTTATATTGCTTTCTTCAGTAATTAACATAAAGTACTATTTTGGTTTGTTAAGATTTTTGTGGTAATTGTTTACATATTTCCCCAAAAGTTATAAGTTTTAGATGACTTTCTTTTTTGATAATTTAAGATGAATGTTTTTTTGGTAGTATTGATATTTTTAAATAACATTTTTATATGTTTATATGAAAATTTCATCTTAATAATTTTTCTAAATAAATTACTCATTTAAAATATATGTGCTAATTTATTTATTTTTAATTTAAATTTTTCGTTATTGATTTACATATTTGTTTTTGTTAGTTTAGTTTTTATGACAGTGAGTTTCCATTTTATTTTCACAGTAGATTTAGACTTTTGACATAAATTTATTTTATTTTATTAAAAAATCTATCTTTATTTTCCATTCGATTGTGATAATTTTATATTTTTGTATGTTTTAATTTATTTAAATTATTAATAATATTTTTTTATGTTTAATGAAAAACGTGATATAAACTAATCAGATAGAGTATATATGTCCTATGTAGACGCTCTCATTGGCCTAAGACATCAACACGGATCACAACTAATATATTTTAAGTTAGCAGTTCAGATTTTAATTGTTTATATTGATTAAAATGTTAAAATAATTTAATTATGGTTTTAAATACAGTTTTTAATAATTTTGTTCAATATATATGATTTTTTTTTCGTAATCTATTTATATGTTAATTTATCTTTTTATTGTTAACAGAAAAATAAGATCTATTTTTAAAACTTTTTTTTATTAATAACTAACTTAAAATTTAGAAACTTTCATAATAACAACAACAACAAAATTAATTAAACTTTAGAAATTTTCCTTATAACAATTAAAACGAATTAATTAATTTCAATATACAATATATAATTAACTAAAAATAATAATGATGTGTACCAATAGAATTGAATCTTTAAATTATATGTGGATATCCTTAGAGTCATTTAGCATCAACTTTTATTAGTAATAGATAGATTGATAAAGTATACAAGTGTCCTCACAAACTACTTTCAGCGTCCCATGATTACAACTATGGTTTTGGATATTGGTTAAGTTCTGATTAACTCTGCTTTTAGCAATTGATAACCAATGTTATCGAGATTGGTGCGAGTAGAGTTCTTCTAAATACTCTTGCTAAACTCAATGAATGGTAAGAAACAGTCTCCTATGTGAGCAGTGTGCATTACATATTTGACTTCACACTTGGTCATTTTCGATTGTTTTGTAAGAAGCAAGAACCGAACCTTGTAAAACTGCAAGTCAAGCTTCCGGATCAAGAGTCAAGGTCTCGACCATTTCCCTATTGTCTTGTAAATCTGGTGGCTTCATTCGTTTCTTGGTCTCAATTTCCCTTAGAACATTGTTAGTCTTAGACAATCTGGCTTCATTCGTCTTTTGGAGAGAAGTTGCATTGTGCTTTCATTTTTTCTTCTTGACTACTAATTTAAAATACTAAAAGTCTAAAAGAGCTTTGTCCATTATCTTCTTGACTACTAATTTAAACTGTAAGATACAGAAAGAAGGAAACATCTTAGACTCCATGGGATGAAAACATTAAATGTTCCAAGTGATGAATCCAGTTCCTTCTACAATATGCGGAGGGAAACAACAGTCAGGTTGATTTATGCATATTTATCCGCAATCTCCAAGAGAAGAGCACATAGTTCTTGAGGCTTGGAGAACATTGCCATATGATCTGCATCTTTGATCTCCGTTACTTCTTTTGGCGGAAAGTTGCTGATTATCAAATGCTGATATTCTTCATGCACTAACTGATCCTCTCCACAAACTATATCGATACGTTTAACAGATCCATACCCTTCCTCACTCAAGCTCTCTGTCCCTGCAAGATTGTCCATACCTAAAAACGGGTTTGCCCTCACCAACAGTTTCGCCAATTCAAGATCCTAAAACCCACACAGACAACAAACAGTCAACACAAGATTGGACTTGAGGTCTGATAACTTGAAAACAGAGGTTTGATTAGGCTTACCTGGATCGGAGACAGTTGATATAGTTTCTTGGCCATGAACTCTGGTCCGAAAAGAACAGAATGAGCAGGACGCTCAGGTGTTCCATAGCTGCAAACCAGAGTGTCCAACAACTCTTCTTGTGACATGTTCGGGACGAACTGCGTAATTTCAACTCAAATACAATCAGAATCAGTTGAAATGTGATCATAAACCGATCGAGTCAGTGATCAGAAATACCTTTTCGAAAACGTAAGCAGGCGGGTTTGTGGTGTCGGGCATGGTAGTTGTCAAGAAGACAATAGCAGAGATCTTTTCCGGGAAGATGTCGGCGGCGAGAGCAGCCGGTATGCCTCCCATGCTATGAGCTACAAGAATCACTTTCTTCATCATCTGAGCCAAGCGAGCTTAGAAACTCAAGCAACGGTTTGGAGTAATCTTCTAAAGACTGTATCTCTTCCACCCTGCTCGTGCTTATACCCGATGCTGCCAGGTCCAGTGCGGTCACGTTGTGACCGGCACCTTCGAGTTCCGGTATAATCTTGTACCAAGTCCATGCGCCATGGCAGGCCCCATGGATAAGCACGAACCGCTTCTTGTTCTTCCCCATTTGACTTTTCGTTTCTTACGGCCTGTTTATTCTCTCCTCAAGAGCTGTGTAATAAATATCTATTTGTATCTATCGCTGAGATGAGTAAGATTTGGACAAGTGCAAACCAAGTCTGCCACATGATACAATTATTAGAACTTTTTTATTTCTGACCTCACCTTGTGGCAGATTTAGAACAACATTCAATTAGAATAAAATGTATGATAAAATCTTGTAGAAAGGTTAGATCAGTGAAAGTTATGATTCTTCTCTACACAATGTTCAGTTTTTTGGTTGCACATAGAAAATGCAGAAACAAAACATGACTTGTCAAAAACTCTATTACGGTTTCTGCATACACAATGTTTTAACTCTCACTGAGTCACACATTCCTTTGAATCAAAAACACAACAGACAAGTTTTTTTTCTTTTACAGAACAAATCTTCTGACCTTCGTGAAGAATATTTACCATATAAGTTATTCGAGTATGAGAGGACCTGCTTGATTCTCCACATGCATTACTTACATACATGAAGCTCCGAGTAAGGGATCATCAAAACGTGATTGTTCTGAAAAGTTCTGATTTTGGCATTCCTTCTGTTGCTCTCCATATTATGTTTTCCAGTTTTGCGCATAACTTCTTGTAAAACTGCAACGATCACGACACAACAAAAATCAAGAAATGATGCTCTCTCTCTCTCTTTAATAATGCAATGACTGATTATTGGATGATATGTTCAGCAAACCTTGTGATATTCAAGAGTTTCACCAGCAGCTTTTCTAACATCTACCATGAAAAGCGATGGTGCCACCTCGTAAATCTGCATATACCTTAGTTTTTAATTCAAAGATTCAAAAGAAACTTATATTAGAATCACAGGAAGCTGTAATGACCTCTATCACAACGGCGAATTGCCCGGCCTTGTCTGAAGATAATCCCTCGAGCCTTGTCTGTTTAGCACATAGAGTAGATAAATTTAGAAACAAATTGCAACAAATCACGCCAGAGACCAAACATTTCCTTGGCAATCATATTCAATCTTGAACGTATCATCCCATAATAGTTGTGATTTAGTTACCTTGAAGTTGCGTGTCTCAGACTTAAAACCCATCGAGGCAGCAACAGTCTCAATATTAGCAATGATCACACTAGGCGACCTCCGAGACACAAAACGGGTTTGCCTTTTAACAAAATCCTGCGAGATCAAAAGGATCAGTGAATATTTCGGATCCTATTTCTATCTACTAATGCCAATGCCATGCAACCAGTTATATCATGAACTTATAGTTGTTACAAACTATTCGAACACAGCAAACAAAGTTAACACTATAAGTATGTTAAAACATGTAGTTTGAAGATTAGATGCTACTGACAATTATTTTATATGTTAAAACATGTAGTTTGAACAAGGAGATCTCTCTGACCTGTCGTCTGTCAAATAGTGCTGATAGATTTAAGCCTTGCGATAAGGTAATCATCTCAAATGCATTCATCATTAGAGGTCCCTCATCTTTTCTCTCTACATTCTCCGATACATAACTGCCCTGTGAACAACAAGTGCAATATCACAGGTCAAACGTGTGTAAAGAACGCAAAAGTAACTTGAGCTAAGAAACACAATGGAGACGAACGAACGACCAACCTCAATTCCATCAAAAACTGCACGAATATCATCCAAATTTACTTGTTCTTCATTCGTTGCTCGGATAGGCACATAATTTAACCTGAACCAAGGATCTTTCCTAATTCCTTGAATTTTAATACGCTGCTCTAATTGGGAAACAATCAGCAGATAAGCAGATGAAATTACTAAAAACTACTTTGGATCATAGCAAACATGAAAGCTCAGAGACGACGAAGCAAAATACTCACTGTTTTGGGATTAGGGTCAAGTATCCTTTGTATCAAAGACTTCACTTCTGCAGAAAACCACGGTGGACAAGAAAACTCTGCTGCATTTATCTGTAGAATATTAATGATGATAAATCATGTGGAATATTCCAATGTCCTGATAGAACACTTCCTCAATGAAAATGTGTTACATACTTTTCTGTACAATGCTGGAAGATCTGTCTCAGAAAAGGGTAAAAACCCAGCCAATATAACAAAAAGAATCACCCCACAAGACCAAATATCTGCTGCTGAACCGTCGTAGCCTTGGCCACTAAGTACCTCAGGAGCTACATAGTTCGGAGTTCCACAAGTCGTGCGCAGAAGTTCTACTCCCTGATTCAGTATGTGTCGAAATGAATGAAAGAGGAGCTAAAAGAGAGAAGCTTTACACAGCTAAAGAGAGAGTTTTGACTGCTGAAGCAGAGATGTGACCACTTACTCGCTGTGGCAATGCACTCAGACCGAAATCCGAAACCTTCAGATTTCCATTAACATCGAGTAAAAGATTTTCTGGCTGTAATACCAATAATGACACATAAGACATCAAGTTTGGACAACACAATGAAAAAGTAGAAATATTCTAATGAAGAGAAGAAGAAGAAAAGGCTTCACCTTTAGGTCACGATGGTAAACACCTTTGCAGTGACAATGAGCAATAGCATCTACAAGCTGTTGAAAGTATTTGCGAGCTTCATTTTCTTCAATTCTCCCGTTATGAACCTACATCAACAAAAGACATCCAAGATTTGAGAAAGAAAACGAAAATTTAAAGCGGAAAGCTTGTAAAAAGCAGATTATAAGTATGAGATTGTTGTTTACAATTCTATCAAAGAGCTCTCCTCCTGTCACAAACTCCAAAACGATATATATCTTCGAAGGACTTGCCAAGACCTACAACAACACAAGAACAAGCTTCAGATAGACAATGACGCCAAAAAAAATGAATTTTAGGAGACTAGCTTACCTCATACAGCCTCACAATGTTAGGGTGTCGAACAATCTTCATTATGGATATCTCTCTTTTTATCTAAACATAGAAAAATATCTTAAACAAAAGCAAAGAACAAACGACACGTACGATTAACAGTAACACTCGAGAGAACGTACCTGATCGACCATCCTGTGCTTAAGTATTGTGCTCTTAGCCATAATCTTGATGGCTACGTTTTCTCCAGTGTCTGTGTTCCTCGCAAACTTAACCTTAGCAAAGGTTCCTTCACCTATCGTTCGACCAACCTCATACTTACCCACTCTCCTCATCTTCTTTGACATTCTTTCGCAGTTTCTTGTTTTCTCTTTTTATCTGATCCATTAACAACAGCCATCACTCAGATAATACAGAGACCAACTGAACAAAACTAAACAAGCCAACAAATTTGTCACAATGAACGGAAAGAAGAATAACCAAAGTTCCTCAAAACAGGGCAATGAAATTAAGGAAACACTGAAACAAAATCTCTCTCCAAACACAATGTTTCAGTGAACAAAACATCCATTTATGTATATATACAGTTAATATTTTGTATCCATAATTTTGATTTCAACAGAAATCTATCAGAGAAACGGGGTTTTCCCAGAATCTACCACATTTTATATTATGGAGGAAACGATCAAGATCATCGCAAGATTTTACAGCTTCAACTGCAATTCCTCGGCGTAAAGGTCCAATTTTCCAGAACCGTAATTTCGAAATTTTTGGTCTTTGACCAATCAAAACACTAAATTTCTAAACACCAATCGAGCAAGTGGATATTTAAGAGAAAAATCAGCCGAGGATAATAAATCGTTACCTTAAGGTGTTAGAGAGCGGTTTCGATCGGAAAGAGAAAGTATACTTTTGACCGGAGATGAAGACGGCGACGGACGGAGATCGAGTGAACGTGAAACGTCAGAGAGATTATTTTATAGGATAAAGACCACAACCCTTGGATTAATAGGAGAATAAATCTGAACCGTTAGATGGTATTTTTTTCTATAAGAACTTGCTGACGGGATGTTTTCTTTTCTTAAAACATATCTTTGTTTACATAAAATCCAAAATTACATGAAAAATATAGAAAATGATACAAATACAACCAAATATATAACTAGTATTCGATTTAGAAATTGGGTTGAATTGTAAAGAATTGAAAATTTCGTTAAATACTAGTGTTATTCAATGATATATTTTAACAATTCATTTAAATATATGTGTTATTGGATTAAATATTTTTATGTATTCTTTGAAAATTCTTTAAATATCATTGTTATTTAATATATTAATTTTCTAATTTTATTAAATATTTGTGTTATTTAATTTTGTAATCTTTGATTATATTATTATTTGAAAATGAATTTAATAAAATCTCACAAAAACCTCTTACTCTGACATTGATGGAATTGGTGTTAATTCCAACAAAACACTTGAAATTACTTAGAAAATTAATTGTTTTTGAAGTCTTGTACATACTATCTACCGTTTAGAGCTTAGTATTCGAATGATCTAATATTAACCGCTAAATTAAAAAAAAAAATTAACCGAAACCTTTGACAAAAAGTTTCAAGCTTTCAACTTAAATGCGATATTACTATACACTCTTTAAACTTTAGAATCCGATTTAATGATCTATCCTTAAGAGCATACCAAATGATCATATTAACATAACATTTTAGCATATTCACTTTCTTTGGAAAATAGTATGCAATCGATCTTCGTGGCACAAATTATTTAAGACTTACTTTTGCAATGAGTACTGAGTTACGACAGTTTGAGACTTTGAGTCATTGTTATTAACTAATCTACTTTAATTCATTTGCATTTTACATCAGTCAATGATCATGTCTCAATTCTTTCCTTATTCAACAACTAATTTCAATGTTTAATAACAGGGTGGCATTGTTTTTTTCTCCTTCAATCCAATTTAATTGACGTTTTAGAGTTGTGCAATCTTTGAGCGAGTTTGGTATGCATATTGGAAGCTAAATGAGGTATATAGAAGGTTTTTAGTTATGTAAATCTTTTCTCTATACCGTTTGAAAAAAAAACTATTTTTCTACATTTCATTTTTAAAACATAGAAATATCAATAAAGTATACATTCTATTAAAGACCAACTAAACCATGATAAATTAATAAACTTATTTAATTAACTATAGAGTTCTGGATAATATAAACTTTATTGGTTAACACTTTTTTAGAACATATTAGGTATTTGTTATTACTTGTAAGTGGAGTGAGATTGATCAATAAAAACGATTTTGAGAAAGTTGACGAGGATCAAGTATTGCTGCTGTTGTGGTTGAAAGTTAGAATTCCGTTAGTAGTAGCAGTATTTGACAGAGAAGATATAACTCGGTTGAAAACAGAAGAGAGTAGTTTCACGATTGATCAGTTTGTCACATAGTTCCTCAAGAGATAGTGGATTGTCTCTGCCATTGATTTGCTTAACAATTCCACGATAATCATCATCTAGACCACCAAAAATGTATTCAGTAACATCTTCATGATTTATTAGCTTGCCAAACAAGGCCAGCTGATTCACTTTAGTCTTTACTGATTGGATGTATTCATCAATAGAGCGTTGCTCTTTGCTACTCTTTTTGAGTTGCTCTATGATCTGTTTTATATGACCATGAGAGGGTCGACCAAAAGTAGATTTGGGAATCGTCCATGCTTTATGTGATGTCTTAGCCATGGAGATGAGTGTCTAGTGTGAAATTGAGATTGATCCAAGCAAGGCTGCAAATATAAACTTGTCTTGCCTCTGCCATTCTGTGTATGCAGGATTTGGCATGGTGAGATTGTTGATCTGTCTTTTTTGCAATCAATTTGTCTTTTTGTCATGTTTGAATATAAAGAAGCAAACATGTTTGAATTTGCAGATTTCTCTTTTACCAAATATATACAAACATGACAAAGCAAACATGAAAACCATTAAATACTTAGTCTTACAAATATTTAGTCTTGAATAAGAAACTTACAGCTATCATTAAGCTCCAACTCTAACACACATGCTTTTACAATTTTTCACAATCTAATATTCAAAATACAAACCTAAAGAGAAAACCATCACCAAAGCAAATACTACAATATTTTTCAATTACTAAATGAAGCAAAGATTTAATCAAACAATCTGATTGTGCTTAATCAAAGAATTCGAATGAACATAAAATCTGAAAATTACCTCATTTTGAACTTTGTTATAACGTAGGTTGTCTCGATTCTACTACAATTACTCTAATCAATCATCAACGACTCATATTCAGAAGTTAAATATTCTTTTTTTTTGTATTTCAGTTGTTTTGCGAAGAAAGAAGAAGATTAACACGGGAAGCCAAATCCCTAAATATATCCCCAAATGCAAAACGGCATCGTTTTGAGTATTGGTTCGTGTAGACATCAAAACGACGTCGTTTTGTGATGAATCGAGCAACGGTCAATGCCAAGCTGGCATTTTCGTTCATCTGAGTCAGCATCTGTTAGCAGACAACTAACAGAAATAGAGTCAATATTAATTTTTGCACAATATAAAGAATTTGGGTAGAGTATTTGAATTTTATTGCGTTTGGGTAGGAAAAAACACTCGGTAAAAGTTGAGGTCGGAAAAGGCACAACAAAATTAGTCCATATCGAAATTAAAGTGACAACAATTTCTTTCTCACACAGCATACGTAGCATTATCAATTCCATACGCAGAGACGACATAAACTGATTTTCTCTTAATGAAGATTTGTACTCTTTATGATCTGATTTTCTACTAGAATTGCTATTCTCACGACTCTTAACTAGAATGGTTATATTGCTATGCAGACTCTGTAAGAAAAAATGGAGACATTTAATTTATACATTACAACCTCATCGCGTCCATAAAAACCAAAAAAGAGGACACGAAACGAGTTCATTACCACTCGCCACTAATAATCATCTGTCAAATGCATTTATTCATAAATGATTGGGGCCTCTCTTAACATGGTTTCTGCAGATCCGGGACAAGGTTGACGTAGCGACAGTCGCGTAAATCGAGGCGTTCAAGGCGAGGACAGTTCTCGAGAATGGCGTTTAAACCAGCGTTTGATAACCTGTTCCCGATAAGCTGTAGGTGACGAAGACCGTGCATCGTCTCAGCGATTGATAAAGCATCGTCGTCACACTCGTTTCTCTCATAGTGGCAACTCAAAAGGTTTAGCTTCAACGTCTTGAGACACGGGCAATAAAAGCCTAGAGCTTTCAAATCCAGCCCTTCGGTATATGAATGCGAAACCTCGAGGTACTCAAGCAATGGCAGTTTCATGGCTGCTTTCAAAAGTCCCACACCAGTTATTTGATGGCACCTAACAAGTCCAAGGTGCTTCAGATTGCTTGATCTACACAAATAGTTGCATCCAAAAGTTGCAAAAACATCATTAATAATCTCTCATTTACCACTTTAAAGCATACATTTTGGAGTTTATTTACACATAAACCAATTACAAACTATTAGGATTTTGCTGCACAATTCACTCAAACTGATTAGAAATTTATAAGCTATTAAGACTTATAAACAACAACTAAGATGCAAAAAACATCATTAATAATCTCTCATACCACTTTAAATCATACATTTTGGAGTTATCTACACGTAAACCATTTCCAAACTATTAGGATTTTGCTGCACAATTCACTCAAACTGATTACAAATTCTAAGCTATTAAGAAGTATAAGAACAACAAATAAGATGCAAAAACATCATTAAAAATCTTTCCTTTTTACCACTTAGAATCATACGTTTTTGAGTTATCTAAACATAAACCAATTCTAAGCTATTAGGATTTTTGCTGCACTCATATCAGTCAAACTAATGAATACCCTAGAAACTGCAAGTCGTTTCGATATTCGAGAATCAAGTCGAAGTAATCAACATCTTTAGGGTTTAGAGAGAAAACCTTTCGGCGATGTAGGAGAGGAGAGAATCGCTGCCGATTTTCTCGATGTTGATCTCAAGCAAGCCGCCCTGGCTTAGATCAACGGCGCGACGACACAATCTGTCCTCGATATGATAGCCCATGGCTTCTTCGATAATGTATCGAGACCACAATCTGCACACGTCGATTTTCCGCCACATCGAAGGGTCTTGACAGACGCGTCGCCACGATCTGCAAACGTTCTGGGCGTTTTCCAGCCTCTGGGCCACCGTAAGACGGATCAGAATCGATGAGATCAATTCCAGCGGAAGCTCCGCCCAGATTATAAGTTTTCCGTCTTTCATCACCGGGAGGCAAAGACGGAGATACGACGACGAAGGCGGTTTTTTGATGATCAGAGATTGTGAAATTACAAGTGAACCTTTTCGGCTCGTTTTCAAATATATATTTACGAAATATAAACCCAATATTATAATGAAATATTGGGCCTAGGCCCATAAGTTTTACTCTTCTTCTTTCTGAATCCCGAGAGCTTGAGATCATCTTCTAATGGCGTATGGGGGTTGAACTTTCAAGCTTTTTGCATTTTAGATAAGTTCTGTTTCGTTCTTTTTTTACATACGACAAAGAAGAAAAGAAAACTTGCCTGACACTTCACACAAGATAAGAAATCCAAAGAGATAAGAATCAATTTAAAAGTGAAACCCATCTTGGGACTGGTGGTGAAGTTGACTTTGGTTTTTCTCTTCCTATTTATTTACTCTTCTCTTCTCAATTGAATTTCGGTCATCACAAACTCAAAAGGCATGGAACCACAAGTCCGTCTTCGTCAAATCATCTTCTTCTTCCTCCTCGTCTTGACAGTTCTTGAACATTCTTCTTCTGCTCGGATTCTGAGTATCTCTAAACCTGATAGGCATGACATCGCCGCAAGTGCTCGTTGGCTTGTCTCTCAGAACTCTTGGGGTGTCCTCAGGTATTTTAAAACTTTTCGGTTTCTCTTGAACAGAGCAAGATCTCTGTCTCCAAAACATGCTTCTTATCTTGATTCTGGAGTTTCGAATCTAGGGTGAAGCAGTTTTTGGGGCTTTTAGTTCATCAGTTGATTGATTGATTTTGGGTCTCTCTCAATCTATCAGGAACAGACTATTTTCTTACAGAAAGCTTGTAGCTTTTTACTAAACTGAATCCAATCATTGATAAAAAGTTGTTGGTTTTTGAGATTTGCAATGCATCACGCTTTGATCCTTTGGAAACTGAAATTGTTTTGGGACTTGATCATGCAGCATATTAAAGCTATTTCTTTTAACAGAAAGTTTTTAGCTTTTTAGCGAGATTGAATCCAATCATTGATAAACAGTATCTATGAAGGTTGTGTTGCTATGGATTATCTTCTTCAAGCTTGATCCTTTTGAAAATGAAATTGATTTTGGGATTTGATCATTACAGTTACCAGATATCTTAATTAACTGTTTTCTGTTTGATTTGTCTCTATGAGTGAAAAGAGATTGTTGCAAGAGCCTGTGAAGATTTGCTATGATCAGATACTTAGAGCATTTTAAAGCTTTTTTTTTACAGAAAGTTTTTAGCTTTTTAGCAAGATTGAATCCAATCATTGATAAACAGTTGATAAAGGTGTGTTGTGCTATGGATTTACTTCATCAAGCTTGATCCTTTTGAAATTGAAATTGATTTTGGGATTTGATCACTACAGTTACCAGATATCTTAATTAACTGTTTTCTGTTGGTTTTGTCTCATATGAGTGAAGAAAGATTGTTGCAAGAGTCTGTGTTGATAAAAATGTTGCAATCTTGTCATGATCAAGGTACTGTGAGTGTAACAATGGTGGATTACTAATTCGATTTGGTGATTTTATTCTTCCTGCAGCACATTGTCCATTGAGCATGAAGGCGCACCGTTCGGGTAATCTCGTTTCCTTGAATCAAACCACAATGTGTTTTCTTGCTCTCTTAATATGAATTGGTGACATTCATTGATCACCACCTAAATAGCAGAATAGTTTCAAGAAATGAGATTCGTCTTCTTCACTAGGTAGAGATTATTAAGATCTTGGTCTCTTTTAAACTTGTTTTGCAGGAACGTTGTATCATATAGTGATGGTTTGCCCGAGAAAGGCAACGGTATACCTTACTTTTACTTGACGATTCTTGATCCAACCACAAGAAACGCATTAAAGGACTCAAGAGCTTCATTCGCAATTAGTGAATCTCCCATTGGAACTTGTAAGAGAGATCCAATGGACCCTACTTGCTCTAAACTAACCCTCACCGGAAAGGTAAATGTCTTTGCCAAAAACCGAGCTTTACTTTTCGACCTAACAAGCAAATGTCTGGTTTCATTACATACGCTTCTGTCTTTATCTCATAATGTCTCTCAGTTGTTGCAAGTGGATGAAGGATCTAAGGAAGAAGAAGTAGCTAAAGAAGCTCTTTTCACTAAGCATCCAGAGATGATGGGTAAATCAAATGTTATTCTATAATCTGTTTGCTACAGTTTTCATATTTGGTTATATCGGTTTTTTCATTTTGTTGCAGATTGGCCTAAGGAACATGATTTTCGCTTCTTCAAACTTGAGATCATCAATATCTTTCTGATCAATTGGTATGGTGGAGCTAAATCTATCACTGTAGATGAATACCTTCGTTACAAGGCGTAAGTAAACAATGTGTGAACCCTTTTTTAAAAAAATCGGTAATCTCTGAGAAACCGAACTATGAGATTTTTGAATGCGATTTTGTTTTTAGCATTTTGATCTCATAGTTTTTTTTTATAATGTTTTCAGGATCAAAGTCGCTTCTTCCTTTTTATGAAAATAATATCTCATCGGAGTTGAGCAAACGGTGAAGCATGTAACTTGTATATTGGCAACACAATAAAAAAAAAAAGTGTGTGTTCAATTGTAAATGACTGTTGTTTATAGCCCTTTCAATGGTTTTTCTTTGAACATAATAGTAAAAAAAAATATTCATAAATTACCACAAACCAAATTCAAAGTACACAGTTTACAAGTATTTGGCTGTGGATAAAATTTACAAGTGTGCGTTGTTTGATTCATTATTTTTTATTTTTGAATGGTTATAACATTTAGTCAAACAGCTTCTACTTTTAACTGATGTTTGATCTCCTGTTTTATCTGTTTTTAGGATGAGCTTTATCATCTATACCGGTTAGGTTTTGGTCAAAGGTGAACTATATACATTTTCTTACGATTTTATAATTAAAACTCGATGTTAATTCTGAGTTTTAAAAAATTAACTAAAATTCTTGAACGGAATGGAACCGAAAACCTTTGTTACAACTTACAAGGCATAAAAGTACTAACAGTGATCGTTCATCAATGTGTGTGTGGGAGTCAGATTCATTTGTTTATAATTTGACCTTAGTATTCAAATGATCTAATATTACCGCAAAATTTTAAAAAAATGAACCGAAACTTTTGACAAAAAGTTCCAAGCTTTCAACTTTAACGTGATATTATTATACATTCTTTAAACTTTAGGATCAAATTTAGTGATCTATCCCTATAAGAGAGCATACCAAATAATCATATTAACATAACATTTTAGCATATTCACTTTCTATGGAAAATGGTATGCGATCGATCTTCGTGGCCCAAATTATTTAAGACTTACTGTTACAATTAGCATTGAGTTACAGTTTGAGTCATTGTTAGTAACTAATTTACTTTAATTCATTTGCATTTCTACATTAGTCAATGATAGCATAACAGATGTCTCAATTCTTTTCTTATTTAACAACTAATTTCAATGTTTAATAACAGGGCGGCATTGTTTTTGTCTCCTTCAATCCAATTTAATTAACGTTTTAGAATTGTGCAATCTTTGAGCAGTTTAGTATGCATATTGGAAGCTAAATGAGGTATATTATGCATATTAGAAGCTAAATGAGGTATATTGAATGTTTTTAGTTTTGTAAATCTTTCGTTGATACAATTTGAAAATAATAGTATTCTCAAGGACAACGTATGGTTAATAATCATGGAATCTGTTAAAGACCAACTAAACCATGATAATTTAATAACATTATTTAATTAACTATATAATTCTGAATAATACAAACTTTATTGGTTAACACTTTTTTTTTTTCATTTCTCAAAAACATATTATGCATTTGTTATTACAAAACTTGCGAGTGCAGTGAGACTAATCAATGAAAACAATTTTGAGAATGTCAAAATTTGTCAGAATTTACTAACCCTCGATTAGAAAGTGGAATACTCTTGTCAAGATTTGTTAGAATTTACTAACCCTCAATTACGTTTTGAAATAAAAGTTGAAAACTTGAATAATGTCAACACAGACAAGACTGAAAGAGAGGCAGATCATCCATCTCAAATAGCATCCAATTGTCAAAGTGGTCTCACTCAATATAATTGAAGAAGTTCTTGATTTATTAAAAGAACATCCAATTGGTGCAACTATCTCAATCTTTCAACTAGAGTAATTGAAGAAGTTTTTGAATTATTAAAAGAACATCCAATTGTTGCAACCATCCCAATCTTTCAACTAGAGTAATTGAAGTTTTTTTAATTGATGTTTTTGAGTTGTACACACAAATTAATAAATATTTTTTATTAACTATTGTAACTCTTCTTACTAATGTTTAATTTTAAGTTCATTAATCAATATAAGAATAAAAATAATCATTTGACATTAATTTTTGCATTGATTTGTTAGAACATCGATCATTTTCAAACAAAAAGAAGTTATAAAACATACTCCTCTATTTCTTTTTAATTATCGTATTAGGAAGTTTCATATAAATTAAAAAATAAATGAATTTTTATTTTTCATTTTGTTTGATAAGAGTAATTAATGTAAAGATAATTCTAAATTTTTTTTTATCATATATCTGCATTAAAAACTGAAAATGACAATTATTTTGAAGTAAAAAAATAAATCTAAAACGACAATTTAAAATAAATGAAAAGAGTATATAGTATTACAAAGATATTATTTTTGTTTATATTTTAATTATGTTTTGCTAATTTTATTTGCTTAGTCTTTTAGGAAAAACAAATTACAAAAATTATAATTTAAATTATACTTGATACGTTGTAGTTAAGACTTAATATATATACAGATGTATATTCAAATGAATCCGAAACTCTCATCAAAGCTAACCTGAATCATGCATAACCCATAAAATATAAGTTATATATATTACAAAGGCAGCAGCACAAAAACCTTACTCAACCCTATGATGATGATCCTTTGACAAAAAGCTGAGGAAGTTTCGTATGTCAAAGTAACATTTTTTAAAAACGGGTTTTATCCATGAATAAACATTGAACATGGTTATTGAGATTGGTACAGTAGAACTATGATTACTCTGCCTCATCTCAATGGATCGTTTAAAATTGGATGAATAAAACATTTTGAGGAAGATGTTGATTTTCCAAATTAAATAGTCTGTTTGTATTTGATGAAGATGTTTTTGGTTATCTATGATTTGAAGAAAGTTTCTGCATTTGGTGATTTGAGATTAAGTTCGGTTTGCTATCCGGTCTTTTCCGGTTTGAGGATGAGATTATTAACCGTACATGGTTGATGTACCGGTTAGGTTTTGGCCAAAGGTGAGCTGTACATTCTCTTAACCTTTTTAATCAAATTCGGTTCAAATTCCGATCCGTTTTTTTTAAAGGAGCTAAAATTCTTAACCGAACCGAACCAGAAAATCAATGGTTGAGAGTCTCTGTTTCATGTAGAAGTGTTTGGCTAAAGGTGAAGTCAAGTGAGTGGCGAGCATTGGTTTCTGTGGTACGAGTGGCAAATATCTGGAAGACGAACATCAAAAATCTGAAATTCGATCTAAAGCTAAAGAAGAATCAGAAATCAAGAAAAAAACAAAAAAGAGAGAAGAAATTTCGCGTTGTAGATTTTTGTATTTCTTCGATCTTTATATTCCGAAACTTCTCCATGAATTCTCAAGCTGTTTCTTGTAGCTTCGGCTTCGTTTCTGTTCCACTTGTCTCTCCCAGAACTTCACTTCGGCGATTTGTAATCCGAGCGAAATGTAAAACTTCAATCCCCAGATTTTTGTTCTTCGTGATTTGAGATTGGTTTCGTATTTATTTTCTTGTCTTGGATTGCTGCAGCGGAACCATCGGAGAAATCTGTGGAGATCATGAGGAAATTCTCGGAGCAGTATGCTCGTCGCTCAGGGACTTATTTCTGTGTTGATAAAGGTGTTACTTCAGTCGTGATTAAGGTATGAAATTAACGAATTTATCCCGACTTTATTTTTTTTTTATCAAAGCTATTTGAAAATTTCTGGTGGAAGTGTGTTGAACAATGAATATTTGGTGGTTTTCGTTTAAAGATTCTACAATTCTGCGTAAGTTATGAACTATTTGGAGGAGATTGAGCCTTCCACTTGTAGTAAATGAGTTTGCAGAAGAAGTTATGTTAATGTTGGTGAACATCTTGAGTTCTAGTGTTTAAGTAATGAGTCTACAGAAGAAATTGAGTTAATATTAGTGAAGATCTTGAGTTCTAGTGTTCAACTACTGAAGTGGCTGAGTGTCCTCTTTGGAGATAATGACCCTGTAGAGGAAATTGAGTCGATGCATGTGAAGATCTTGAGTTCTAGTGTTTAGCTGATGAAGTGGCTGAGTCTTCTACTTGTAGATAATGAGTCTGCAGACGAATTTGAGTTAATATTAGTGAAGATCTTGAGTTCTAGTGTTCAACAAGTGAATTGGCTGAGTGTTCTCTTTGGAAGTAATGAATCTGCAGAGGAAATTGAGTCGATGCATATGAATATCTTGAGTTCTTCTAGTGTTTAGCAAATGAAGTGGCTGAGTCTTCTACTTGTAGATAATGAGTCTGCAGAAGAAATCGAATTAATGCAAGTGAAGATCTTGAAATTTAGTGTTTAATTGTGTAACTTTCTTCTGGAGCAGGGTTTGGCTGAGCATAAAGATTCATATGGTGCACCACTTTGCCCTTGCAGGTGATCTTTGCCTCCGGGCTATCGTTATTTCCAAGAATCTTTGAAATTCTCGTATCAACCCAAAGTCTGTTCCTTTGTTTTTTTGTGTAGACATTATGATGATAAAGCTGCTGAGGTTGGACAGGGCTTTTGGAATTGTCCATGTGTTCCAATGAGAGAAAGGTAAATAGTTGCTCCATGTGGCTGCATAGCTTTGTTGTTTGTGTGTGTGTGTTATATTAGTAGAACACGCACGTTACGCTTTCCATAGATGTTACCAAAGCGCTTCATCCATAGTTAGCAACAACTTCCAAACAAAAATCTTTAGCTCTTTCGTAAACTGTTGGCATATTTGGTTCATTTCACCAAATTCTGAAACACAACGAATTTCAGATTTCCTTAGTGTACAGATAGGAGTTGTTTCGGGTAGTTGAATCGATTTATTTTAATATTAACAAAGTTCTATCCTTTCTTCATCAGGAAGGAGTGCCATTGTATGCTTTTCTTGACTCCTGACAATGATTTCGCCGGGAAGGATCAGGTAAACTTCAAATCAGTTTACTTTCCCTAACTACAAGCTTTGAGGTTCTGTTTCCATTTTAAGCAACTTGTATTGAGAACTGATGATTTGTCTACACTGTTTTATGCAGACTATTACGTCAGATGAAATCAAAGAAACCACAGCTAACATGTGAGAACTGATTCAGAGAGAAATGTCGCAGTGTCTCACCAATGCAGCCTTGTACATTGATACCCGAGCATCTTCTTCGTTCTTCTGTACAACTATTTTCACTCTCAGATAAATACTTTAGTATGAATGATCTGACTTTGTGATGAAATCTTCAATATTTTTTCATGAGATATGTTTTTGCATAAAAGGTCCTAAGTTCTAACTGATGTTGAAATTTAAACAGCGGTTTCTCTTCCACATCCTTTACCATCTTTCAAAGCCAAAGATTCCATAAACTTATCTTTCAGTCGTCGGTCCGCATTTGCAGATTTAGTCTTTTTGTTGCAGGCACGAACATCTTGAAATCTGTACTTTAATCAGACGTTTGAGTCCACACTTCTTGCGAGTTACTATACTAGACGAATCAGCTTCTTGTTCCTCTTCATATAACAATCTCCAGATCTTTCGTACTTCTCAAGCAGAGATTTGATACTCTTTATCATAACATGTTGTCTCAGTTTGGGAAATCTTGAGATTTATATGAACTGTGCTCCAAACAAAACACCTGCACACAGAAGAGAAGATCAACGCTGTTCGATTAAAGTTTCAATTTTTATGGATAAATCAATTAAGCTCTACCAATGTGCAGATATCGAGCTGTCTGGTTAACAAGATTCTTCTTCTTTGGTTTTTGTTTTTGATTTCGTTATATTCTTCCTCTGTTTAACTTGAACATTTTTCCTTCTTTAGGTTTTATGTTTAACTGTGCAGCTTCTGGAAAAAGTGCAAGAATTTACGGATGATGATTTGGATTGATAGCACTCGAAGATGGTTTTGTAAGTTGGCACCATGTTGTGCTTTTTCGGTATCATTATTCCAGAGATACAAATGTCTCCATAGAATAAACCTTTAAGTTCTTTTAACCAAAAATTTGAACCTGAGTGGAGTTGTTCATGATACGGAACTGTGTAAAACTTTTGAATATTTAAATGTAAAATTTTTGGCACCCTGAGTTGTTTTTCTTTTGATAGGTAAGGACATCGTTGAAGAAGTCAGGCACACTGTCAAGGAAACTTGTCCCATCACAAGTGACAATAGAAGATACAGTTGCAAGAAGCAAAGAAAGATGAAAGGAAAATGGTACAGGTGACTCTTCATACTTGCTATATCTTTTTTATGCTTACACTATTTTTTATCTTCTGATGCTTCCAACCCCTCTTCACCTTCAACTTCTAAAATCCGAAATAACTTGATGCTTCCGTAATATCTTTCCCCTTTGATGCTCCCACAAGATCTTGACCTTCTTTTTCATTGCGTTTAAGCTCATCTCCATATATGACCTCCTCAAGATCTTGATCTTGGCCTTTATCTTTTGATGATTCCTTCCTTTCCATTATGTCTGCAGCAATTTCCCTCTCCCTTCTTTCCATTATGTCTGCAGCAGATTTCCACTCCTCTTGAACTTTATCTTGCGATCCTTCCATAAGTTCCCACACTTCCAATATATTTTGACCGTGCTTTGCCTTGAGTTTGAGCAGTGCAGCTATCCACTCCTCTCGACCTCTACCAGTTAAAAACAACCCTAACAGTCTAAGTGCCAAAGGAAGAAACCCTGCGAGATGGACCGCACGAACTGCAAGCTGTTCGAAATCAGAAGGTGGATATGGCTGCTTGAAAGCAAAATGAGAGAAGAGTTGAAGAGCTTCATCATATCTTAGAGTTCTGACTTCATACAGATCCATCACTCCGGCGTCCACAAGCAAATTCTTGTTCTGGCTAATAAGAATGACTCTGCTTCCCGGAGCAAACCAGTTAGCGTATTCAATGATCCACTTTCCTTTTTCGATGTTGTTCACATCATCAGCTATAAGAAGAACTTTCCGGTGTTTACGCCTTGCTTCCGTAATTTGATGCCAATCGCGATCTAAACTTCTTATTACCGTTGGATCTTCTTCCTCCTCTTGGAATTTTAGAATCTTGTCTTTCATGTTTTCGACATTCTCTAGGAAAACATGCGTCTGAAAATCTGCAGAGATCTCTGCAGAAACGTACCTTGCAAGTGTTGTCTTCCCAACACCTGCACTACCCCAAATGCCAATGGTGCGAACCTCTTTGTTAACTTCTGAAGCCAACAAGTCATAAACCACTTTCATGTGACGATCCATTGCAACAAGGACATTCAAATCGCTTGACGTGGAAGAGAGAAACAGGAGAAAAATGTCATGAGCAATTTGCTTGAACAGATCTGATTGGCTCATACCCGCAAGATCCCGAGAAAATGGATACTCGGCGGCGATGCTGGCCAGTTTGGTGAGTGCGGTTGTCCAACTTGGCACATTCTCCGGATATTGTCGGCAGATTTCTTCTTCCAGATCAAAAGAGAAAGCTGCGAGGAAGATGGGTATGACGGTGAGTGAACCTTTTTCTTGAAATTGGAGTATCACTTTGAGCTCTTCCAGGAACCCAACGGAACAAGACTCCGTCTCAGACGTCATCACAACAGCAACTTTGGACACTTCCAAAGCCGCAAGTGTCTCTTCATCAATTGGTTTGACTCTCGTCTCCAAGCATCTGTTGGATTGAAAGGTTTGAATGCCATTATGCATCAAATTAGCTTCAAAATATGCATGGCCAATCCCGCCGCAGAAACTGAGGAAGACATCCACCTCCCTTTGAACAAACAAAGAATAAGACGAAGGCATTGGTTTCGTTCCAACAATGTCAAAATGCTTCACTTTTTTTTGTACAAAGTGAAGTTTGACCAATGACTTTAATCATGCTTATTCGTTGGACACATTTTTTTATGAAATTCTCTCTCTTCTCACATGTAGTTAGCATTTTGGAAAATTTATTCGTTACCGAATTATTCATTTGCTGTAGCATTATTTTTTTATTTTTTTTCTTTTTCTTTCACATGTAGCATTTATGAGATTTACAAGAAGTCGTTCGTTCACAAGGCAGAGAAAATCTCCCTCACAAGGGAAGTTGTTCTTGTTCTACAATGGCTTCCTCATATGCATCGAAGTATGATGTCTTCCTCAGTTTCCGAGGGGAAGACACGCGCCATTCAATCGTCAGCCATTTGTACGCAGCACTTGTTAGCAAAGGACTTGTTACCTTCAAAGACGACAAAAGGATCGAGACAGGCGATCGCATATCTGACGAACTCCACAGAGCTATACAAGGTTCAGATTTCTTTATCGTGGTTCTCTCGGAGAACTACGCTACTTCCAGGTGGTGCTTAATGGAGCTCCAATTGATAATGGAGCTTCATAAGGAGAGGAGAATTGGTGTCTTTCCCGTCTTCTATGGAGTAGCACCCTCTGCCGTGAGGAGAATTGGAAGTTCCGATCTAGAAATGTACAATGTTCCAGAAACGGTGGATAAGGTTCCCAAGTGGAGACAAGCTCTTCATGAGATCGCCGATGTTTCAGGCGTGGAATCCAGACTCTGGTTAGTTCTTTTTTTTCTTTCTTTTTTTCGCTTTCATGATACGGAACTGTGTCAAATTCGAATGGTAATCTGGTTAAGTTACTGAATATCTTGATTATTATTTGCGTTGTTCGTTGTCAATTTGTAGCATTGATGAGGCAACTATGGTTGACAAAATTGCTCAAGATATTTCAAGACGCAAGACACTGATGCATAACATAGACGTCAGTAACATTGTTGGGAAGAACACTCACATGGAAGCTCTGAAGCCTGTCTTGGACATGGAGTCCCAAAACGAGGAGGTTCGTATGATTGGAATCTGGGGTATGGGAGGCATTGGCAAAACCACCATCGCCAAGTGTCTCTATGGCCAGCTCTCACTTCAGTTTTCAGCTAGTCATTTCACTGGAGACATGAAAGGAATTCATAAAGACCTTGATCTAATGGTTTTACAAAAGGAACTTCTCTACAGTACCCTCGGTGAAAATAATAGGCCATGGAGCGTGGAAGCTGGACGCGAGGTCATATCGGAGAGACTTGGGAACCATAGGGTTCTTCTTGTGCTTGATGGTGTAGATAAAATCGACCAGGTGCAAGCTCTGGCGAAAGAAGTAAGCTGGTTTGGTCCTCGGAGCCGAATCATCATAACCACCCGAGACAGAGGATTGCTCAGTAGCTGTGGAGTGAAAACCATTTATGAAGTCAAGTGTTTAGACGACGAGGTTTCCCTCAAGCTGTTTAAACAGATTGCTTTTGAAAGAGGACGTCCTCCTTGTGACGATTTTGAACAACTCTCAATCCGAGCAGCTCGGCTTGCTCACGGGCTTCCTTCGGCTATTCAAGCATACGCCTTGTTTCTCCGTGGAAGGGACAACTCTGCTGAGGAATGGGAAGAAGCAGTTTGTGGACTCGAAAGTACTTCTGACGAGAATATAACAGAAATCTTGAAACTTAGCTACTGGGGCTTAGCAAAACAACATCGGAAGATTTTCCTTCATGTTGCCTGTCTCTTTAATGGAGAAACTGTTCAGCGCGTCGTTTCACTACTTGGTGATAATGCTAGGAAGAAGCTGGGGATAAGGGTTTTGGCTGAGAAATCTCTCATAAATATTACAACTAATCGATATGTAACCCTGCATAAGTTGGTGGAACAGATGGGAAGGGAAATTATGCTCGAACGTCAAAAATTCCTCGGGGATCCTGAGAAATTTCATGATGCAGTAAGTATCTTTTGACCTACCATGCTCTATGTTTTTTGTTTTTGTTTAGGCGAAACCTTCTAAAAGAATTTGTAACACCAGGGAATACAACAAACTGAATGCATCTCCCTGCACACATGTGAGATGACCTGTGCATTTTCGATGAAGACCAGTGTTTTTGACCGTATGCATAAGCTGAAGTATCTCAAGGTGTACAAGCATGTTGATGACAGAGAATCGAGGCTGCAAGCCATTAGAGACTATCATGGTCTTGACCGGCCTCCTACGCTAAGGTTACTTCACTGGGATGCATTTCCATTGAACATCCTGCCTTTCGGATTTGATTGGAATTATCTTGTTGAACTCAATCTGCGTCACAGCAATCTTGAAACACTCTGGAGTGGAAAACCGGTAACCTTTGCCTCTGATTTTGACTGCAGTTATTTTTTTCTTTTTGGGTCATAGCAAAGTGCGAAATCCAACTATTATGTGTTGTACCTTCCTCAGGTTTGCAGTAATTTGAAGAGAGTAGATGTGACAGGATCTAAGAATCTAAAACGACTTCCAGATCTTTCAAATTTCGAGAATCTTGAAGAGTTGATTCTAGAACAATGCATGAGACTGAAAGGAATTCCAAAGTCCATTGGAAAAAATTCTACCCTAGGCAGGCTTAATCTATCATACTATGGTGGTCCTACGAGTCCCATGAGTGTTGTTATACGGGAAGTGTCTGGGACGCAACGCATCACATTGACGTTCCCAACTGCAAAAGTGGAAATGAAACTTAAAAACATATCGATCGAGGGAGACGTAAAGTTTCATTTGTTTGCAGATTGTGAAGGTTATGCTGAATACTTCTCCTTTAGTTCTGAACAGCAGATCCCTGCTGCAACAATGCTCAGTGTCCTGCAAGCTCCTCGACTAATCTCAGAGCTCAACATCAGGAGGTTCAGCTACAACGAGAACGGTCGACCTGTCACATTGCACAGCTTTCCAGATATTCCTGGCCTTAGAGAGCTAAAACTAATCAACTTGAACATCCAAATAGTGCCAGATGGGATTGGTCACTTGAGATTCCTAGAAAAGCTGGACTTCAGCGGAAATGATTTTGAGAACTTACCAGAAGCTATGAGTAAACTTTCTCAGTTGAGAACTCTCTGGCTTCGAAACTGCGGCAAGCTCGAGAAACTGCCAGAGCTAACTCAGGTGCAGTCACTCACTCTTTTTAACTGTAGGAACCTCACATCATTTGTGAAACTCTCTGATGCAAGCCAAGAACCGGGTAGATACAGTTTGCTTGAGCTTTGCCTTGACAACTGCAAGAATGTGAAGTCTTTATCAGGCCAGCTTAGCCATTTCAACAAGTTGACATATTTAGATCTTAGCAGCCATGATTTTGAGGCGCTGCCATCAAGCATCAGTGATCTTACCTCATTGGTAACTCTCTACCTCAATAACTGCAAGAATCTCAAATCAGTGGGAATTCTCCCACAGAGCCTCCAGTTTCTTGATGCACAGGGCTGTGATTCCCTTGAAGCTGATGCTTTAGAACATATTGAAGAGAGACGAAACAAAAAGGTAATTTTCTGTTCTTGACTCATCTCTACACTATGGTGTGTTCAGTCCTTTTATAATCGTCCTTCTTTTATAGGTACCAGCGCAGAGGCAGAGTGCCTGGTTCCAAGAAACTGAGATACCGAGTTACGAACGGGATCGCCAAGCCGCGAAGAGTCGCCGTCTGCCTAAGTTCCTACGCTGCTCATATTTCTAGTCACTCCTGCATTCCACGCTTATGGCTGCTCATTGAATTTTGCTACTGAGTCCTTCTTTGTGTACAGCTACGTTTAGGAGTTTGCAAAGAATCTTTATGAAAGAGATCTTTCACCATTTTGATAGCCATGCTCTGCTAGATATGGTGCACCGCTTAGCCCGTACAGGTGATTTTTGCTTCCTTGACAATCTTTATCCGAGGAACATTGTAATTTCTTGTGTCAACCAAAAGTATGATCCTTGTTTTTGATGCAGGTATTATGATGATAAAGCTGCTGTGCGTGTACAAGGCTTTTGGAATCGTCCGTGTGTTCCAGTGAGAGAGAGGTCAGAAGTATTGTGTGTGTGTATGTATGTATCACTAAGCAAATAAGTTTTTTTTGGAAACATTGGTTATATGTTATAACCTGGATTGTCCAACTTGTGTTTAGCAGCACAAATATGTTGCAGTTTCCATAGAGATGATACCAATGCTCCTCAAAGATTGATGCAGATGATGTATTTACCAGATTGCTAGGCAAGTAGAAGTTGATTCCTTCCATAGTTAGCAACAACAGCTATTACAACAACACAAGCAAAAAATAATCGAGCTCTCTCGTAAACTGTTAGCGTTTGTGGCTCTTTGACCAAGTTCTGACTAGGTCGAGACTCGACCCTAAAGCTTCAAGCTCGGTATAGAAATAAATCGATCTTAACCAATTTTGATTGTGTAATAGGTTGAGGTTGACTTGGTCAAATTTTCTTTCATTCTTCGTTTAACAAGATTCTCATTCTCCTTGACTGATGTAATTAAGAGGTGGTTTAGATGTTTTTAGGCAGAGGCCCATTTTCACACTATTTATAAAAGGTGGTTGTTTTTTTGTCGGCCTTTGCTTTTAGGTTTTAATAAACAAAAAATATGCTATTTAGGGATTCTAGGATACATCATATTTGATCAGTGAACTATTATTTTAAGTCATTAGAAAAATTGGCATGAAATGTTCAAATTTGTAGAGAATACAAAAGAAAATTTTCAGTTTGAATTATTTAAAATTAAAGCATATATATCGTTCTTAAATTAGAATTAAGTTTTAAGAGCTTAAATTTTATTCTTTGGGTTTATGATTTATAATTTATAGCTTAGAGACTTTAGGGTGTTAGACTTGACAGAATTATATGTACGCATTGAAGTGTGAACACCAGCTTTTCTTTTTTAAAGAAACTAGCACAAAGAATCTAAACAACTTTAGGAAAAGGCAAGAAAAAAGGTAAGCAAAAATGAGAACAAACAGCCTAAAACCACTCTTCAAAAGTCTAAAGATTGTGTTATTAGCACTAATTACACATATAGACTGAACATACGCGTATAAAGGTATACACATACACTACCTATACATATATAGACCTATCTGAATACTTAGCAACTAAGAATACAATTATTAATGGTGACTTGTTATACTCCCTCTTCCTTTTTATGTTATCATATCATTATTTATTCCCATGCAACAAAAACAAAAGAGAAAAGTTCAATTATATAAGTGGTACGTGGTAAGTAGACTCACTGGTAAGCTTTGAGCTTACTGTAAATGAATATTTGTTTAAAATCAATTTATACAAAATATTGGATTTCAATCAGAATGTCATATAAGCTATATAAAATCTGAGCTCAAATGCCTTTTTATAATGAAAACTATTTTAGTCATACAGATACTAATTATACTTCTTTTTATCCTCTGAAAAAATGCTGACCTATATTAGCTATTAATTGGAGAAAATATATATATCTGTCATAGTCATGGAAGAAGAAACAAGTTTAATTCCCATAAACGAAGGGGAAAAAGCAGAAATAAAAAGCAAAAAGTATAAACTTTTTGAACATTCATAAAGCTGAAAACGACAGCATTGTTCTTGGTTAAAAACAGTGTTTTTTTCGTAAAGCAAACACACATAATTGCTTCAACATGAAAATAAAATAAGCCTTTTAAGCATGCTCATCTTACACACAATGACATATCATACCATTAACCTGTTCAGATATATCTAAGTTTGACCGGTAATTAATAATTTAGTTTGTCACTAGTCACCATATGAATATCATTCAATTCTCTCTAAAGTAAAAGAGATCAGCGGTTCATCATCTTTATAACATGTAAGTCTGTGTTTGTGTTACAATTATGTTATATTTATCATATGCAAAATGAAAACGTGGAGGACAAAAAGAAGATACAGCTTACATTCAATTAGATAAGTCCACATTAAAAAATTTCTTCAAATTTACCTAACTAGCCATTTAATTAATAATAAATAATTTTGCTTTAGATTATTATGTGTCAATATTACTGAAGGTTTGATTATTTTTTGTGTAAACTATACGTGACAAAATTCTAAATTTTGTTCTTCTAAGGGTTGTAAAAACCCATAAAAAAATATAGACTAATATTTTTTTGACAGCATATATATATAGACCAAATAAAAAAATAATTGAGTTTGCATGGATATCGAAAAAACAAAAAACATCATCAATGCTCTAGATACAAAACAGTTGAAAACACACATGTGAATCACAAAAGCACAGAGCAAAGACAAATTCTCCAATCAATAACTCTCGCAAAGGACGTATCTTCACTTTCACCTGCTAAAAATTAAATTTTAGATTTTTTAACATCATAAATTGCAAAAAAAGAAAAAAAAAACAATGACCCTAATAATGATACAACATGACCAAGTCCACAGTTTAACAACAAGCAACAAATCTCCCTCCCAAAATCTCTCTTTCCTGTTTTGTCAATCTCTCTCCCACAAAAATCTCATCTTTAGGTTTTTATTCATGGGTCTTCTTCTTTTTCTTCTTCAACAACAATTCTACTTTCTCCACTCTGAAAAATCCAATCTTTAATGGAGATTCAACGACCAGTCATCAAGCTCATGGTTCTTCACTCAAAACACGACAAAAGTGACAGCATTTCCCGACGAGAATCTCTCGCCGGCAAATCAAAATGGAGAATCTCTTTGTCCCGTTCTTCGTCTTCTTCTTCACAATCCAACAATTCGCCGTCGAAAACAGAGATTCCGGCGGAATTTCTCTGTCCGATCTCTGGTTCCTTAATGGCTGACCCAATCATCGTCTCTTCCGGTCACTCCTACGAACGAGCTTGCGTCATCGCTTCTAAAACCCTAGGGTTTACTCCAAATCCGTTATTCCCAAATTCGCCGCCGGATTTCTCCACCGTCATACCGAATCTCGCTCTCAAATCCGCAATTCTAAGCTGGTGTGACCGACAGTGTTTTCCGCCGCCGAAGCCGCTCGACTACGCCGCCGCGGAGAAGCTCGTTTTTGCGTTAATGGAGAAAACGCATAGATCCAGCCGGAAAGTGTCGATTTCGGAGAAGGAGCTAATCCAAGCGATCAAAGACAAACCTTCCGTGAGACTCGACCACGCTGCGACTGAGCTTGACCGGAGACCTAATTACTTCAATTCGAGCTCCGACGAGTCAATAGCCTCCTCGAGCCGTACGCTACAGTTAGCGACTCGACCTAGCTGCTTCTCTTCACCTTCATCTGCAGAAATCGAGTCGTTAGAACCAAACCCTAGCCCAGAAGAAGAAGCTTTACTGATAAAGCTAAAGAGCAATCGAATCTCAGAGATCGAAGAAGCTTTGATTTCGATCAGACGCGTCACGAGACTAGACGAAGCTTCTAGAATCAATCTCTGTACGACGAGGCTAATCTCTGCTCTAAGGTCACTGATCGCTTCGAGATACGCGACGGTTCAGGTGAACGTCACGGCGGTTCTGGTGAATCTCTCGCTGGAGAAATCTAACAAAGTGAAGATCGTAAGGTCAGGAATCGTCCCTCCGTTGATCGACGTTCTCAAATGCGGTTCGTTGGAAGCGCAGGAACACTCCGCCGGAGCGATTTTCAGTCTAGCTCTGGAAGACGAGAACAAGACGGCGATCGGAGTTCTCGGAGCGTTAGAGCCGCTGCTTCACCTGATCCGAGTCGGGACTGAGTTGACTCGGCATGACTCGGCTCTTGCTCTGTATCATCTCTCTCTTGTTCAGAGCAATCGAGGGAAGCTCGTTAAACTCGGAGCCGTTCAGATGCTTCTAAACATGGCGAAATTAGGTCAAACGATGAATCGAGTGCTGTTGATTCTCTGTAACATGGCTTCGTGTCCGGTGAGTCGACCCGCATTGCTTGACTCGGGAGCTGTTGAATGTATGGTTGGGATTCTGAGAGAACCGAGAGAGGTTAGTGAGTCGACTCGGGAGAGCTGTGTTGCGGTTTTGTATGGACTCAGTCACGACGGAGGATTGAGGTTTAAAGGTTTGGCTATGGCGGCGAACGCGGTGGAGGAGCTGACGAAAGTGGAGAGGAGTGGGAGAGAGAGGGCGAAGCAGAAGGCGAGACGTATATTGGAAGTGATGAGAGCTAAAATGGAAGATGATTCTTCGCCGGAGAATGAGGAGATTGATTGGGAAGAGTTGTTAAACTCCGGTACTGTAACTCGAAGCCAGCATCAACTCGGTGGCGACGGTGAGAAAATCGTGTGTGCTAACTCGTCCGAGTTTTGACATGTCTTTAACTCGTAATTTCTTTGCTTTTCTATTTCTATTTTTATTTTTATTTTAATTTGTGGATTTGAACTTTTTCCTTTTTTTTTTTGTTAATTTCTAAATAATAGGGTTGGGGGTTGTATAAATTTAGACGGAGATGAGATTTTTTCTTTTACGAATTTTATGGTTGGGTGGGGAGGATTCTTGTATTTTCTGGCAATTTGGTTGGGTGGCATTTTTTTTGTTTAATCCCATCCTTATTTTATTGTTTTTCGTAATATCTTTTGCTTTTTAAATATTTAGAAAAGGAAAGTAACAATGAATAAATAAGTTGTAAAGGAATGACTTTTTCCTTAGAGGTGGAATTGATTCCATTGGAATAATAAAGTTGATGATAGTAATCTGATTTGGCCTCTTCAATTATTTTGCATCACATGTATTAGCATAGTTTTTTTTTTTTAACGACACATGTATTAGCATAGTTTTAGCTAGGATTTGGTACCAAATTTGGGATGGGAACGACGAGAATTAGTCTGAACTATAGAAATAAAATAAAAACTCAACATTCAACAACAATCATATAGCAAAATATTTGGTTAGAAACTAAACTGAGCTTGATTTGTATTAAATTCTTAAATAGACCACAATATAAAATTCATAAATACCTAAACTGTTCAAGAAATCCAGTTTGATATTATTGCATATTTCGTTTCATCCTAAAATTAGTCTGAACTATAGAACTAAAATAAAAAACTCAACATTCAACAACAATCATATAACAAAATATTCGGTTCAAAACTAAAGTGAGCTTGATTTGTGTTAAATTCTTAAATAGACTTATAGACCACAATATAAAATTCTTAAATACCTGAATTGTTCAAGATCAGTTGATATTATTACATAAGTCGTTTCACCCTAAATTTGTAAGCGTAGTTGATGTTTCAAAATATACTAGGATATTGACCCGCACGCATGTGCAGATATAAATAATTTAAAAAATGTAATTATTTATATACAATACTTAAATCTGTTTTAGAGATTTTAATTTTTTTGTAGTTTATGAAACTCAAAGTTAGTGTTTTGAATTATAAGACTTTAAATTAAATAGTAAAATATTATCTAATTTTATGTAAACATTTTGTTATAATAAAAAGTTCATTTATATTTTGAGACAGACTTGAAAAATAATAATTAAATTTGGAAAACACAAAAATTATTTTTTCATGAACAGGTTTTGTAAAACTTGACCCACTATGTTAGAGGGTCAAATGAGTCAGACCCGTGGATAGTTGGTTACATTCTTCGGATTTGCTGATTAGGCTGCAAATTTTATCTTCTCTATCTTTTTTCTTGGAACAAACATTTTTCATTTTCTTTATCTTCCTATAATCTTCTTCAATTTAAAGCATTATTTCTTCAAGGATTCTGTCATTGTTGATCTCGATCTGCTCATATGTGCGATTTTTCTAGTTATAATTTTATTAAGTAGACTCTACAAATAATTGCAAGACCATCTCCACTTAAACATCAAGTGTTTCATTGCAAGACATGTTTCAGCGAACGTTAGTTATAAAACTCTGTTTACTGTCCTGATATCTTTGAAGTATACTGGCCCTCTCTGAATATTTAGTAACATTTTAAGGTAGAAAAGCTCACCATATTCTTCTAAAACTTCTGGAAGGCTGATATCGTAGGAAACATTATTTTTTCTGTTGCGCAGACGAGGGAACCACTTCTTAATTTTTTTATGCCAAATCCATTTGTTTGGAAATTCAGTGTAGCGATAAAACCTTACTTCATTACACTCATGATTGGAGTCTATCCAACCTTCAAGTTTCATTTTAGTCATATTCCATTTAGGTAAATGGATTGGTAGAATTGCCATGCCCGCACTTTGAGTTAGGGCTTGATTTGTTTGATACTCATGTATATTGTGATGTTTTCTTATATAAGGACCAGAGTATATAACTTTTTTATTACGTAGTTATTTGGCATGAACATGATTTTATATGGATCTTTTTGGTTATTATTAAATGGACATTAAACTTTTTAAATAATGTAGAGGATTATAATTTTGATTTTTCATTAGATGCACGTTGATTTTTTAGGATATCTTACGTTTGTTAATAAAAATAACGTAGAGGATTATTAAATCAAAATCTTATATTTATATTTGTTATTATTTTTAAACTAAACTAATTTTCAATTTTGAATGTTCTACAGAAGATCACAATAATATCTTATTTTGTTATTATAATTTTACCAACTGAACTATGTGAAAACATATGTGCACGTAAATGGAGCACTGCCTTTACAAAAAATATGAAATATTAGGTAAACGATTTGATCAATGTGATTTTGCTATTATAATTTTGCCTACTGTGAAGTATATGAAAACATATGTGCATGTATTCCATATGAATATAGTATTATAATATATATGTAGATATGTGTACATATGGAAAGTCACAGTGGTCCGCTATAGAGCTATAGTAAATTTTATAGGTATATAATATAGTATTATCCATACTATTATAATATATATATTAAAATCATCACGTTCAGCCCAAAATTTATCTACTATTACTCATATAGATGAATATTAATATCAGACCATTCGTAGTGCATCCGACGAATCATTCCAGATTTAGTTATTAGTACATTAAATATTATCATCTAATTATTATTTTTTATTTATGGAAATATCACAAAAATTATTTTTGCCATGTCATCAACCACATGTGTTAGTAAATGCCATGTCACAATTACATCATCATTACACATCATCATTTCCATGTCACATTTAATTAGGGTAGACAAATGATTTTAACCAATCAAATAAAAACAAATCAGCATTTTTTTATTAAACTACATTCTCAATTAATAGGTAGAGGATGTTTGTGTACGGTTAGTAAAAACGTATGTACCTCTTGCGGTATAAGTATTGGCATTAATGTTTGTTTTTTACAAATTAATAGTACCTCTTTTTTAACCTCTTGAACCCAAGATTAGAGTTCACTTTATTGTTAATTAACCACATAGTTATTTGGCCCAAGACTTACTTGCATGTATGATGTATCTTCAAGCTCTTCTGTTTTTGTGGGACCAAAACCAGTCGATGCAAAAATTGCACCTTGTAAACATCCGGTCGGGCCTTAGATATGAATCCGCTTTTTGTAGAATGGATCACACGGGAACCTGTAAAATATATTGCTATCAACGAATAATTAGAAAAACTGATATAGTTATTACTTTTGCAGGAGTCAGTGACTCCACTATTTGTATCCTATACTATAAACCAATGAATAAAGCAAATTATCTCTACTAAAAAAAACAGACATGCCTGTTCATAACATTCACGGGAAACTATAAACATCATTGTCGTCTGTCTTGGTTTGTACGGATCAAATGTTTTAAACCCGTACGCGATGAAGCACGATGACAAGCAACTGCCCTATATTGCGTTTTTCTATGATGAATATCTAAAACCCCATCAATTTATTTTTAGACTTTTCTAATCTCAATTTGATCCGGATCCGAACCTTTACTTTCTATATTCTAATTCCGACTTAACCTAATCTCTTTTCCAATTTATTTCTATAAAGCTGGTAGCCTAGAAACAAGTAATGCAGCCAAATAGCTGAAGGGGCACATGTGAATCCTAATGTTCATTTTATTTTTTCAAACAATATGATCACTTAGATAGCCTTGCTTGGAGGTTTCTTGACCCCTGAATCTGTTTCCCTAAAGGCTCCTTCTCGGGTATTACATGGAAGAAGATATTCAAGGTTGACATTCTGGAAGGAGTCTTCAATCAAAATTACGTACAGAGCTGCTCGAATGCTTAGGAAAGATCCAGATATGTTGGTTTGTGCGGGAGGGACACCGTTCTTAAATCTTCTGGAGAAGGTCTTGACAACAGACAGAAAACAGAAAGTAATGGATAATTTTCTAACAACCTTTTTCATCAGACAGAGACCTTATATAAGATCTTTATGCTTCTTTAATGTATCAGATTCTGCTTATGTTTCTGAAAGTCAGTGGAGTCGGTCTGAATCTATCTGCAGCTTCAACCGCTTTTTTAATAGTAACATTTATCTTCAAGCTTGCTTTGATGATAATTTTTTGCTATGATTCTTGAAACAACTTAGTGTACATGGTGGAACCGTATGCGTCAGAAGATTCATCTTCAAGGTAACAGCCATAATTTTTTTGGGGGGAAGGTTTCTTGCGCCGTAAGTAAATAAACTTGCGAGATATCTTACCATGATTCGGTGCAAGATAGTGGAACGGATGCTGCAAATTCAAACGAGGAAGCATCGGATGATTGCCGGAGGAGCTTTGACCGACGAATAAGTCTTGGCTAACTCAAAATGTTGTTCCGGTGATAGATGCATAACACTCATAATTATTTTGAACTATACAATGATAGCTTTACTTTGATCCTTGGTATAGATAGTGGGAAAACGGCAAATTCTCCTATAAACTAACGAGTTCCTGACAATTTATATATGATCAATGAAAACAATGCAAATAACTACATGAACTATTTAAAATTTTAAAAATATCATATGAACTAAAGAAATATGGTCGATTCCACTAAAATCACATACAATAAAATCTCTATAAATTAATAATGTTGAGACTTTAAAATTTTATTAATTTATAGAGTTATTAATTAATTAATAAATTAATAACTATTAATTTATGGATAAATTAGTAAAATGTTAATTTATAGAGATATTTCTCAGTTCTAATTCTTAATGTTCATTAAAAGACAAAAATAAATACTTTTAAAAATGTAAAATTTATTCAAAAATACCATAAAAATGAATTTAGAAGACAAATCAAATAACATTTATACCAAAACAATAATATAATTATTTATAACTATATTACATAATTTATATATGCCTAAATGTAGAATTATATATTAATTTATATAATTATTGAGACCATATTTTTATATAGAAATTCTAAAAAAGTATTATCTAATTAGCAATTGCCAACATTGCAAT